TAACTCGTAAGCTTTATAAGCAAAGATGGGACATTTCGCACAGCATGTATATATGCCAACAAGAGACTGGTCAATTACAGTCCTAAACAACAATTGGAAGATACAAGTAAACAATTAAAAACTTTACCCTATTGCACAAGCAGGTGGCTATCAGGACTCAGTAGCTAAGTGGATATCGCGATGGCGTTTGAAGCGGACGGTACTGGGTTTGAGTCCCGGAGTGAACATCAACTCCTGGATGCAGGTGCATCCAGCTGACGAGTCCCAAATGAGATGGAACGTGCATCCTGGGTTCCATTGCTACCTACTATCCATCTTTGCTTATAAAGTTAGTGCGATTATATTTCACAAATAGATTCAGGGTAAATGACTAGTATAACAATCTTTAATTTTGAAATCTGACCGAGTTAAAAAGACAGGTCAAGAGTTTAATAGCTGTCACTAAACAATTTTACCAAAAAAATCAGCTTTAAACTCAGAATTCCATTTGTTGGATATCCTGTTAATAAAGACGAACGGATGGTTCATCTTAATGATCAGCATAAAGGAAGACAAAGTGAAACCATCCGTACACAAATTTTTAAAGTTGGGTTTCATTGGGCCACTTGATTTAATTAATATCTCCAATGGCCAGAAAAATAAAATGGACATCGATCCATAACAGATACTGATAAATAACGGTTAATCACCTAGGTTCATTTAGATAGATCTCAAAACAAAACAGCAACGTAAAAGAATATCTAAAACCTCAAAAGAAAACAGTTTTCGAAAACATAGAATTTAAAGGAAATGGAACAATAGAGTTTCAGAAAAACATTCTCTTGTACTGGATTTCGCATTGTATTCTGTCGCTCTTTGATTCGCGGATGTATGAAGGATAGTCTTCCGCTTTGGGCTATATGAACTTGCACTTATGATTTTAATTGCTCTTGAGACGAAAGATACACACCACACAAACCAAGCTCTCATGAAATGAGTCACTAGGCTTCATTCTCCTTGGTTTTCAAAAGAAATACCAAAGTTAGTTACTAGTTCAATATTTGAACACTACGCAAATACTAGTCACGTTACTCCACCAGAGTCTTTCTTCAATGTTATTTATAGTGTAAAACTAAGTGATTCAAAGGAATATGGAGGTAGAACTGATATTTCCCTAAGCGGTTTCAACAACCCACTAATTCCAGCTTGATCTATATGTACAAAATCAATATACATAATCGCTAATTTTGCCATGGTTTTAACTCAATTCCTATCTTTCATATTCCGTAACCGATTGCCATTGCTCATTCATTATTTCGTCATCACTATTAATTACCCGCTACTAAGACAGTTGATTATTCTGCACTATAAATTCGTCAAACGAACAATTATCTCTCTCCAGTAAAATATTTATATATCTTTTACCATCCGCCCAACTAAGTAGTAAAGCTGATTGACTTTTCGGGAAAAGAAAAGTACTTTTGGAAAGACGTACGAGAATGCAGCACTGGAGAAGGCAAAGCAAATGGACACGTTCACAGTTTACTTTGATGTGGTTCGTGTGCAGTAGAAACATCGATTTGAATATAATTTGTGTATAACAGACGGAGACGTTAGCAGTCCATTCTTGTGAGGTTATATTTCCTTATCGCAATCGGAAACTATGAAGGAACCCAATAGCGTTAAGAACTATAGTGAATACATCAGTATGGGACGTGGTACAGTCGCAAGTATGTGCTACATGTATATATATATATATATAGGTTATGCGCACCCTTAAAGATGTATACACTTCATAGTGAACACATAAGTACAGATGCACGCGGTCACAGAAATACTATACATGCGTATATAGAATGCATAGATTAAGGCCTATGGACTCAACAGTATCCAAATAGGTATGGATGCAACTGGGTCATAGCTCAGCAGCAGTGAACAATAAATAATTTGCCAGTACTTAAATAATTTGAGCTGTGAGTCGTCCACTGATGGTACACTCCATCATATTTATACCACAAACAAGTTTACTGTCGACCCTTGAGAATTGGTTACGACACACTTTATCCATATTCTTTTTGGTCTGCACCAAAACCTGCCTAGAGATAATCCAATCAAACACGAAAAGGAAAAATTATTCTTCCGTCTGTTCATTTCACTTTTTTCTATACAATACGAACCTTTTTGATAATCCAAATTTAAAACCAAGTGGGGGACTAGCTCGATTTCTACCTAGCCACTCATGTTAGTTCGTGACACGATATTTATCTATTTTATCATAGACTTATTTGTAGTCATTAACTATAAATACAATTGTACAACATTAATAAATAACATCGCTGTAAAGAACATTTTTTTTCATTGAATTGTCTTTATTGATTCTTCATGTAATCAGAATTGAAACTGAATAATAATTGTTATATCATGCTATCGTTCTAGTTCGTTACTGAAATATATGGTTTCTATATGCATGCCTGAACCAGTTACTTAAGTGAGAAAATCAAGATTGAGTAAGAATCTTTTATTAACCAATTGAATCAAGAATGTATTCACAATTTATTCATAAATATAGATGTATTTCCCTCAGAAAATTAAACTATATTTTCAAATAATAGCCTATGTCTATTTCCTTAGAAAGTAAAGTCAAATCATGACCAATAATGTTTGACAGCTTAATAATATTGAGCAACTTAACTTCAATTAATTTCTTAAAGTCGATCGACAAATTCTATTGTTTACATTGTTTCATGCCAAATCATACAGTCACAATTTGTAAATCAGTTATATATTGATTACTTTAGGTTCAGGTTAATTAGAAGTATAATCTCTGACTGTTCTAATAATTCCGAATCCTATGAGCGGTATCAATTTCTAACCTAACAAATTCGAGAATTGAATCTATGATTTTTTGAAAAATAATTATAGCTGTTCAACATCACACCATTCGATCTTTATTGAAGATATTCAGCAGGATGATAAAAGAGAGAGTAGTAAACTTTGATGTGTTTTATCTGATTAATAAATACCAGTAACAGATGTGTCAAATTACTAAATAAACATGTCAGTAAAACGTTAACTGTCATATTAGAATGTTTGTTTGGGTTATTTAAAATAGTTGTTAATATAATTGACCCTTACTTTCATAATGTCAATAATTTATTTTTCTCAATGAAGCATAAAATCGTTTCTTTTCATTTGAATCTGAGATCTTCATTATCCCAATTGAAGAATTTTCCTGTTTCATTAAAATCAATTTGAGTAAATTAGTATCATTAGTGATACGTCACTTAGAGTGAGATGTATTGTCTAAAGGGTAGTGATGCTATCTATTTATTGAAATCGAAATAGTCATAGAATGGTTTAAAACTTCTATCTAAATAATTGTTAGTTCGTTGCTAGTTACAACTAACCTAACAGTCTATACAAATAGAATGAGATTACGATATTTATTCGGTTGTACCAAAACACATTTTAATGATTACATTAAACATATGTGGATGCGTACTACTAAGGAGTCAATCATTAAAATTACTATAATATCCACAAAACCCCCCTTCTGATAATTTGTATAAGTATTTAAAAATCATTTCATCAATATCCAGAAATAACTGTGCAGATTTAAAAAAAGACTAAAGATAACTAGAACACTGAATCTATGCCAAAACATTATCTTAATCATTATAGTGATGTATATAATGGGATTTGAACTCATAAATGCAAATGATGCAGAGTAACTACAAACTAATCCTTTAACATTCTAATAATTATGATTTAGAAGTATACTTATTATAAAAATTAGTACATGGATTTTAACTATTGTCACCATTTTATTTTCAAACTTGACTTCTATTTATTTGACAATGAATCAAGAAATTTGACCCCTTTATGCTAATCATTGACCTACTTAAAGTTGTGTGAAATTTCTAAAATCTCCACAAACCCCTTCTGATAATAATCATCTGCTCACTAGTGAGTGAATTCGAGAGATACTCCTGGAGTTCTAGTGAGAAGCCGTTACCAGTGGAGTTCAACCAGGTCTGTTGTGAGATATCAGCTCACTGAAGACAAAGGTTTACGGTGGTACAGCTTCGTGGATTGGTTGAAGTTAGACATTAACACCACTGGATGCCGGCCTAGTGGTCTAGTTGGTTAAGCGCCTGGCGCGAGACTGATAGGTCCTGGGTTCGAACTTCTTGGGGTGTGGGATCGTGGATGCGCACTACTGAGAAGTCCCATACTAGGACGAAACGGCCGTCCAGTGCTTCCAGGTTCTCTATGGTGGTCTAGCTTCTATTTATTTGACAATGAATCAAGAAATTTGACCCCTTTAGGCTAATCATTGACCTACTTAAAGTTTAAAAAATTATTCACATCCATTTGTAGTATTTTTTTTACATGTATTGTTTAACGTTTGTAGTTTATCCCTAAATGACCTCAAGTATTTTGTACACAGTTGTATATATATATATGTATATATACACATGAAGCAATAGCTTATACAGTGGTCTACATAATATTTTTTACACTTTTCGAAAGAAAAATCATTTGATAAATTAGGTGTTTTTCTTTCTTTGTAATATTTGACCATTTTGTACAAGAATGTTATGTCATTCAGTAATTCTGGTTCACATGGTCTTATTTATATACAAGCACTTACCCTAGGTCAGTTTATTACTAACAAAGAATATGTGAACATGTAAGTATTGTCATTTTTGTCGTTTGCTAAAATTACACTGTTTAATTCCCTTCTTCACAAGCTCATAAATTATGTACAGATTCTCAAGTATTCTCCCTATCCTATTCTGTTAAAGTATGTACATTTAGTATTCACCTATAATATATATTGAATGATTGTCTTAAATGGAATACTAAATGATGCCTATTATAGTACACACTATCACACATAGATCAATGCAGTCACTACAACATCTTCTACTTCACCTACTGAAGATATAATGCGAAATCCAATAATCAGTTTAAATTGTATTCATATTGATTTAAACAAAATACGTGTATCGGTTTGTGTCCTTTTTCCAATAGTAGAATTTGTGCAAACCTTAGGATTTATATTATATATATAGACAGGCAAAACTAATATCTATAAATGGGTGTATTTGTTAACTTCCCTTTCTTTATCATCTATTTCCTTATATCAGTTAGTTAACTAGTTGAATAAAACACAGTTTTATGTGCACAATTCAATGTCGATTGGGCAATTAAACATATTTGTGTATATTTGTGTGTATGTTTTAATGTGTACATATTTCTATTACTTAACATGAAAACATGAACAAAAGAGAGATTATTTCTCACTTTACAAAAAAAAGAAACACAATTATATCCTCTTGTATATTTATAATCACTATTGTTGTTATCAACGTCAACAACAGTTCAATTTGAACAAAACTTTAATATTTCTTCTTTATGTCAATGATTATTGAAGTTCATTAAATTGTCTATCATTTAATACATAATTATTTCTTTATTATTCAATTACAATATACAAAATAATCAATCAAGAGTATACTCTTGTATTAAATAAATAAATATATCTATTTTTTAAAATTATATCCAAATATGGAAACAGCATTTTCTAAGACAGTTGATGAAGTTTTAAATCATTTCGATTCAGATCCAGAAACTGGTTTAAGTGATGATCAAATTAAAAAACAAACTGCAAAATTTGGTCCAAATGGTAAATCTTTTATTATTATTAATTATCTAATATGATTTAATAATACGTTTAATTCATTAATTAACTCAAGTCTAATTTCACAGGTTGAAATCATGAGTCAATTGAAGCTAGACCACCATAGAAAACCTGGAAGCAGTGGAAGGCTGTTTCGTCCTAGTATGGGACTCCTCAGCAATGCGCATCCACGAACTGACTTATATTGAATATTTAACAAAATAATAATGTTTTTATTAGTTGAATTCATGAGTCTATGGGAAAACTGGAAGCACTGGACGGTGCATTGTTGAGGAATTCCATACTAGGACGAAAAGACCATCCAGTGCCTTCAGGTTTTCTATGGTTATCTAACTTCAATTGAATCATGAATTCAACTATTAAATTACTATAATATTCACAAAAATACACTTCTTTGATAATAATATTTTAGTTTATTGGTAGTTAACATCTATTTATATGATTTTTTGACTATTTAGACTGTTTTATAATTTAAATGTTTACCTTTAATGATCATCGTGAAGAATGAAGGAAATATATTTCGTTATTTACAAAATATCATCCATTATGTCATGGATGTGTAATGTTGTATTGTGGTGTGTGCTACTTATGTCGATGGACATAAGTTGTATGTAGTATCAACCAGAAGTGGAATGGCCGGTAACAGAAGTTTGGAAAGATCAAATTGAAGAGAACAGGAAGAGCGATTGATTGTTATGACAATGAAGGGACGATAAAGTTTGAGACAATTGATAGAGGTTTGCAAATGAAGTATTGAATGTATGATTTTCATACATTACGAAAGAACTCTGTCATTTTGTATTAAAACCTAGTTGGTTGTCCCCAACCTATGTTCTTTTTCACTACAGTATATGTTTATTTTAAGTTCAAAATTTCGAATCATTTGCATGGTAAAAACTGATTGAATTATTCAGACAGAAAAGTTTTAATTCAATAATACTTTTACTTACTGCGTTAACCTATCAATTTTCAAGATATAAATGTGCTACCAAAGCTAAGGTTGGATTTGATCGTTTCAAATAAATTGAACATTGGGTAGAAAGTTAATAATAAATATGTCTTTCGTTATATTCCAATGAGTAGAAAAATTGTATTTCTGACGTTTCGTGGCTGAATGTAAGTAGCTTCTTCAGAGCAAATAAATAAATGAAGAAGTGGCTTCTATTGAATCACGAAACGTCAAAAATACAATTTCTTTTTACTTATTGGGATATCGGGATATATTTATTATAAATATGTCATAGTGTATTGAAGCTGAAGTCTTAGTATTACAATTGAATACACTATATAATTTCACAATCGATTGTGATTTTCCACATTATTTCATTGCATATGAACAAAAATGCTTGTTATCACTAACAGTCCTATGGTTTCATGAAAGTCATAGCCAGAAATTTCACCAGATTGTTTTTAAAAATATTTTTTTCAAGGCTGATTACATAAGACCTAATGTCATACTATGCTGACAAGTTTATGTAAAAACAGTTATAATTGACATGTTAAAAAGAAAAAAAGTCATTTTTAATTATTTTATAAATGAGCTAATAATTAGTTGGCTTATTAAAAAAATACCCCTTCTGATACCAATCAGCATATGATCACTAGGGATTTCCTAACGTTAAAGTGAGAAGCAGTGACCAGTTAAGCTCAATCGGGTCTGTTGTGAGATAGCAACTCACTAAACACAATGGTGGATGTGTCACTCAACTCCGTGGATTAGTTGGAGGTAGACATTAACAGCATTGTATGCTAGCCGTGTCAGTGGTCTAGTGGTTAAGAGCTTTCGCGCAAGACCAACAGGTCCTGGGTTCGAATCTCACGAAGCGGGATAGTGAATACGCATTGCTGATGAGTCCTACAATCGGACAAAACAGCCGTCCAGTGCTTTCAGGTTTTCTGTGATGATCTAGCTTCAATTGATTCATGATCCCAACTATTTAAATTATTAATAATTATTACATGAAAAAGTATGGTATTATCATGTAAATCTGTCAATAAAAGCCTCCCAGTTATTGTTTGTTTGCTTGTTTGTTATTCTAGGAAACTTACATTTACTATTCCATAATTAAATTTCTAACTACAATGACTAAAATAATCTAATTTTCCTAAATTATTTAACTCAGTAACAATTAGATTCATTCTAGTTACTAGATTAATGTTAAATTTCAAAAACTCCTATCAGTATTCAATATTGCTTATTATATGTAGTAAATTAATTGGATTTATAAAGTGTAAATAAATTGAATCTCAATCCAACGACTAAATAACATCATGATCAATTCGATAAGGGAAAAATTCTTGTATCTAAGTAGTTTTTTAGTAGTATAGCTAGAGAATATTTTACGGTATCAAATCGGGAAATCAAATGACTTTACAAGTCTTGTGTATTTTCTTTCATCCATTTACTTAAACATATTTCCTATTAAAAATATGATTTTTTGTGTGTATTTTCTTTCATTGTGAAATTCCTTTCAAGATCACTTTAGGCTTTTATTGTAATGAATATTAATATTATTGGATCAATCAATAGAGAGGATGATCGGTTGTTTGTTTAAAAATGATATGAGTTCACTTCATTGAATTTATACAATTTGTTTTTCATTATTGTCCAATGAATAACATACTTTATATCTTTTTCCAATTTTCTTTTCAGAACTTCCTGCTGAAGAATGTAAGTAGAATATTTCTATTCAATTAAATTTTAGTGTACCAATACATAATGACATTTGATAAATATTTCTAAATCAACATAATAATAATAATAAGTTAATATCTTTTAAGTAACGTAATCAACTATAACAGTTTAAAGAGAATTACATAACTAATAACATAAAACACTACCAAGTGAGTTTAAAGCTTCACTCTATTGCACAAACAAGTGGCTATCAGAGCTCAGTAGCTAAGTGGATAGTGTGATGGTGTTTGAAGTGAATGGTACCGGGTTCGAGTTCCAGAGTGAACATTAACTCTGGGATGCAGGTACATCCAGATGACGAGTCCCAAATAGGACGAAACGCGCGTCCTGGATTCCACTGCTGGTCATTATCCATCTTTGCCTATAATATTCAATTGATTCGAACGTTACCTTTTGAACAAATAAAATCTAATCTATGTGATTAGATGAAGATATCTATTTTGCTGGTAAATTATTCGAATTCATGAAAAATAGTATTTGTATTTGTATAGTTTATTAATACGTTCTGTCATTGTTCATGACATTCAAAATACAAACAAAAAATAACTAATTTAATTTAATTTTTACCTAAGTCTCTTCACTATATGAACTGAGCAGAGTTAAATTTTCATGATTTTACAGCTAAAAAAAGTTGTTATATATGATGAATTGTACTAGTTAATGAAAATCTACAACAGAATGGCATTATTAATGAATACAACAGTATATTTCATGTGTACGTGTATGATTTTTGGTAAATTATGTTTAATTTCACTACTGAATTTAAGAGTGAATCTAACCTAGAACCAATAAGAACTGGACGACCACTGCGTTCTATTATGGAACTCCTCAACAATATGCATCCACGATCCCGCAAGCGGAACTCTAACCCAGCACCGGTCTCGCAAGCGAACGCCAGACCTCTAGACCACTAAGCCCTCATCCAATAGTGCTAATGTTTAACTTCAATCGATCTATGACCTTATGCAATCATTCGTCCATTGTGTTCGATGGTTAACTGTCTTACATTCAACATGGATTGGACTCCGCTGGTCATAGCTTCTTACTAGAACTCCGGGAGTTAAATGTTGAAGGTAGTCACTGATGAACACAAGATTATTATCAGTATGAGAATTTGTGAAGATTGTAGTATTTTCACAGTTGGAATCGCTAGTCGATCTAACCTGGACCATCACTAAAAATCTGGAAGCCCTTCAGTGCTTTGTCAAAGATATTCTTCATTATTTATAAAATTAATTAATTAAATAAAATCTACTACTATCTTATTTAAAAAATTATCAATTATTCTGTATAATTTATTTTTAAACTTTCATTATAGCTAAAGCAATTTGGCAACTTGTCCTTGAACAGTTTGATGATTTACTTGTTAAAATTTTATTATTGGCCGCAATTATCTCATTCGTAAGTATTCCTATTTTTCGTTTCTTTTGGGGGGGTAGGGTGGGGGCGAGGGAATAGTTTAAGATTTTTCAATTCCGTTTTTCATTTTTATTTTCTAATGTATAAATAGGTGAGAATTAGATAGAATAATTTCAATAGAATAACATGTATTCATTTCAATTCATTAGGGTCTTGTTAGTTGCTTCCCAATTATTTAAAAATTCTAATTATGAAGTCGATTAAAAATATTTACATGAATGAATCTAGTTGAAATTCATTATGATCAAACATCAGAATAGTAGTATAGCAAAAATGCTGATAAATTTAAAAGATCAAGTAAATGTTTTACATAACTACATTATATGTAAAAGAATATTCTACAATATTAACATTAACACCGTTGGATGCCGACTCAGTAGTCTAGTAGATAAGTGCTATCGTTCGAGATCAGTAGGTCTTGAGTTCAAATCCCATGAAGCGGCATCGTGGTTGTGCACTTCTGAGGAGTCCCACAATAGGATGAAATGGCCGTCGAGTGATTGCAAGTTTTCCATTTTGGTCTAGCTTCAATTGACTCATGATCTCAACTATTAAGACAAATCAATAAAAAACGTTCCTCTTTTAAACGAAATCATTTACTTAAGCTGTACAATCGTGAATATCTACAAATACTTGTCCATAACCAAAAAGAAAGGTATTGTATGATTTAAGAAAACTTATCAACAATATTCAAGGTCTAAAATATTGAATATGATTGTCTGTAAGTAAATAATAAGATGTTGTATTATTGAAAATTATTAACATTAAAGTGGTATTTTGTCATAAACTATTCATAGAAAGTCAAAATATCGTAAGGAGATTATTATTCCAACTGATATTGTGATGTGCGCTACTGATGTCAACATATATGAGTAGTATGTATCGTCAATCGAAAGTGAAATACCTGGTGGTAGAAGGTTAAGAAAATCGAATGAAAGAGAACGAGAATAGAGAATGATTGCTGTGGAAATGAAGAGACAGTGAAGTTTGAGAAAACTAATTGATATTTCGCAAATGATGTATTTACTGTATGGTCCTCGGATTTTACTAAGATATTCTGTAATTTAGTGTTCAAATACATTCGATTGTCCCCATTTGTGTTCTCATTCACAACAATAAAGAAACAAATATTTTACTAATAAATTTAAACTAGATTACAATTCCTTTTTTTAAAAGTTTTATTCGACGTAACATAATAGAAGTCTATGTGATTTGATAATGGTTCTCACAGTTGAAGATTATTAGAATCACAGTGACTTTATTTCGAGCACCACTGGAAATTAGGGATTCCTCAGTAGTACTTACTCACGACCCAGTTAGAGAGTATACCGAGCACGTTCAGGTCTCACAGCAAAGCCTTGGCTGCTAGAACTACTGAACATACGTCCAGTGGTAGAAATCTGACTCTAACCAATATGAAACATGAAGTGACAACCATCTTGTCCAGCTGTAGACAACTATTTTACTCCTAACATCTCCACTACACCATTCAATCTGTGACAAATAGAATTCACAAATTAAAAGTCTGCACTAAAACTCTTCAAGTAAATTATTGGGATCGATTGAATACTGTGAAATCAAGACCTCTAGCTTCAATCATACTCACACTATCTCGTTAGCTGGTAGCCTATCGAGTTCTGCGAACGAAAAATATTGTTCAGCAACATGATATTCCATATATTATATGATACAAACTTATGATCCGTATCCCACAGTGGAATTATGCCTTCTATTATTAGATGTGAGAAAGCGTAGGTACTGTTAACACCAAGTTCACGTAATAAGAATAGTTTTTAAAAACTACAATACCTTTGAAAATATTCTATAACACGTTATAATTAATGACATCAAGTTGACATCTTACGTAATTCAGATTCTTCAAACAGAACACAGACATTGATGTTGGAGCGTTCAGAATTACATAACAAATGTTGGAAAATAATTGTGATTTGAATTTTTCACTTTCCCCTGTTCCATACAACAATATCAACATTGAATTTTAATTAGATAAATACACATTTACACGGACTGAATTATTTAGGCTTAATTTTGAGAATCTGGTGTACATTCTAACTGTCTTAACTAACTAACCTATGAGGATCAGTTTTAATTAGCAAACTCTGAATTTTGTTTCGATTCATTCACGCATAGATAAAGTGCGAGGTAGCAGTATGGTTCTTCAATAAAATTTTCTATTATTCTGAAAGATAAGTATGACCAAAGTAAGATTATAACCGAATATGAAGAGGGAAGACTTGAATCAGAACATATTATAACTAAAAATCTGATGTTTCTCACAAATATGGATGTTAAAATAAAACTTTTACCAACATTACAAAATTTATAAACACTGGGATTTTACTTACTAAATGATTATTCAAAATGAGGATATTTAATAATGAAAGCTCAAGAATGAATTTAAAGACATCAATAAAACCGCCAAAATCAAACTGAACTGTAAAAATCACAATTCATAAAATTAACTGATTTCTTCACATATATTCGACAAAATTACCGGGCAAGTAATAGTGAGGTTAGACGTAGGGTATTAGGGAATGACGGTAAATCAGTCGGTGAGGTTGTGACTATCGCAACCAATGGTTAGAGACTCTGGGTGACATAGCTGAGAATCGATCACAATGTGTAAGTGTATACACTCTTTGTCTTTCCTTAAACTATAAGATTAAAATCGCTTGATATCTTTCTTTCTACAAACTAATTATTTCTTCCTGTAAAATGTCCTTATATGCAATCTTTCTTTTATATATTACCATCACTGAATTAACCATTCCTATGAATTCGGTGTTCATCTTGTTGTGCTAGTGAGGAATGACAACTTGGACCGATGCACATATGTGCCTGGTCTTACATTGTAGCTGACTGACTGAATGAATGACTGATTCGACAAAATATTTGGTTTTTATACTATTAGAAGAAAAGTTTATATACTCTTTAAGATATGGCAGTATTTATTGATGAAATTCTTAACAATGAAATATGAATATTTATAAATAACATTGAAATATATCAGTAGTAAATCTTTCTTAGATTGTTTTTATCCATTTTATAACTAAATTTCCCTCTAGGTACTTGCTTTATTCGAAGAGAATGAAGAAAGTATCAGTGCATTTGTGGAGCCACTTGTTATTCTGCTTATATTGGTCGCTAATGCTGTCATTGGTGTCTGGCAAGTAAGTTCATACTTTGTTTCATATTTTGCTGTTTGAAGAAAGTAATAATGGTAATAAAAGTAGTAATATTTGTAAGTTTTAAACATTTATAGTAGAAATAGTAGTAGTATAGAAATGATTGAATAGATTACTGTTTAATATAATTTCTATAGTGAACATCAGTTGAATAACATAAAATAACTGATAATAATTCTAACAGTATGAGTTTATAATATGATATATAATTAAGGGTCAGAAAACTCTCAAATCTAATTAGTAATAATTTTGTGTAAATTGTATGACATTCATGATTCAATGAAGGGATTGAACTGAACACACATTAAAGTTTCGTTCAATTTGCGATTCCAACTACTTGATTACTTAGTCTACTCATTCATTTAAAGACAGTTCATCTCAGAAAACCAACATTGATGAAATATTACAAATTGAAGAAGATTGAATAGCTATTTCTTCACATTCTTTTCATTCAGTAAAGCATATTATTTACAAATCTTATACAATTTACTCCAATATCCTCAAATTTCATTTTAAGATTCAGTTATTAAGATAGAATTCAGGGGTTGAATATTCTGTACGTCGATCGATTGGTTATATAACATGATGTTGGTAAGAAATTCACAGCTAACACAAATCTTTAATCAACTCGACTGATCTAAGAAAGTATAGCTTCGTGGTTTCCAGTGTACTACTAATAAATGCGATATAAAGTATCTTTATAAAAATCACTTGGTATTGTTTGGCTTATATCTTCCCATTGAGGTTTAAGAATGCAATGGATCAGTCTGTTATTGGCATATGTGCATACTGTGCGTATGCCTCGATATTACATTATCTTTATAAAAGTTGACATGAAATTTCATTGTTAAGCAAATCAATTATGATTAAATTTATTATTTTTAATAATAAATTATATTAGGAACGTAATGCTGAATCGGCTATTGAAGCATTAAAAGAGTATGAACCGGAGATAGCTAAAGTATTTCGAAAAAGTCATTATGGTATTCAACGAATTAAAGCCAGAGAATTGGTACCAGGTGATATTGTCGAAGTATCAGGTAAATGATAATTTTTATGTGTACTTGTTCTGTATATGATTTAGAGTTTATGCTATTATTTTAAATAAAAAAATAAGATTGTTATGAGAAACTACCTTGAATAGTTTTGATTACTTCATTCGATATTCAGTTATACTAGAAGTAATGATTTACAATATGATATTATTCGGCATGATTAATGCAGTAGTTTTTCCTTTATGATTAACATGTGTTATTTTAATGTTGAGGAGACCAAGAATATTTCTCAAGAAAAGCCTAGAGGCTCTGAAAACGTTGGAAAACATTTCAGCATTCAATGAAAGTGTCTCAGATTCATCTAAAAAGTGAAACATCACATGTCATCTTTCTGATTGGGTGATTATTTATCTTTCTAATATGTTTAGTAGCGTTCCAGGAGCTTCTGGAAACCCGAAGCCATCTAAAATTCTATGAATACCCTAAATTTTCTGTACACAGATGAACCTTGCAGTAAAGCGTCCTTTCCATATTTTTCACCTTTTCTTTCGTGTTCAAGTCATCGTGTAGACTTAACCTAGCGTTATTAGAAGAGCTTAAGAAAGTGATTCAAACGTTCAGTCAGAAGACTTATCATTAAAATAATATTCCCTTATCACACACACACACTAACCATTTTTAGTTAGCGGTGAATCTGTGACTTAAGACAATATTGAGGCACTATGGACAGGTTGTATATATGCCAATAAGAGACTGATCAATTGTGGTCCTAAGCATCAATGAGAAGATTCAAACAACTAACACAAAAATGTATTTTTATATGGTTTTCGATTCAATTTTTAGAAGATAAGACAATGTAGAGACTAGTGAATTGGAATTTAACTTCTTAAATGGTGTATTATATAACAATAAAATATAAAATAAGCTTCATTATATCAGATTTTATTCTAAAAGAGGATGTGAATTGTAGTCAAGCAAACAAAATTTGATTACAGATATATTTTTAGATTATTAGACAAGAAAGTCTAAAGAAGATCTAATTAATGGATGACAATAAAAATTCATCATAATGATTAATACAGTTATGTATGATATTTATGAAATATATATACTTGATTATTACGGACTGTTATGTTATTCACTCGGCTAAGAGACTCAATAACCAATAAACACGAAATACAAAATTATATTCCATTCTTCCAAACACTGATGAATCTAACCTGTAACAAATAAGAACGTAAAAGAAAAATAGAAGTTCTATTATAGCATCAACTAAAAAATGTGAAATATGGGAATAGTTATGAGTTTTAAGGTTCTAGATTCAATTGTATACACAATGTCTAAACGTTTCAAAATAACTATTCGAAATATTGTTGTGTTTTGTTTTTTTGACGGATTCGGGTCATATATTTATTTTTACACCTTCAAATATTAATCAATCATCTTGAGAGGCAGGATCGTGAATGCGTATTGCTGAGTAGTTCTATACTAAGACAAAACGATTATCCAGTGTTTCTAGGTTTTCCATGATGGTCTAGATTCAATTGACTCATGAATTCAACTGTTAAATGACTATGATATCCACAAAACTCATCTCTGATTAAAATTTAATTACTTAAAGTTGTTATTCTGTGCCTAAGAAGCGCAACACAATTTTTAATAGTAGATTAAACAGTAAATATGTTGTAATTCAATGATATTGACTTTGAACTATTAATGAATACCGGTAAATTTTTGTTTTTGTATAATCAAGGTGAAAATGATTTTGTTTTCACTGTCTGGATCATGAACAAGTCTCATAGATTATGTATAAGGTTGCTGGGTATAAACGAATTATATTTCAATGATTTGTTTCAGTGAACAATTATATCATCAACCAGTTTACTAGTTCCCAATAAAATCTCTTAATTGAAAGTATTATTTTTAGTATTATATATTATTCTAATCAGCCGTCTAATCAATGAGGTGCATTTTGAATGTCTAGTTATCCTTCATTAGTCGTATTTACCTTATCTCAGATATCTATTTTAACAGAATAGTTTAGCAAAAGTAAAAATGATGAATGAAATGACAACTAATGAGTGGCTAACATTATTCCACCTAGCGCTAAGCTTCAATTGATTACATTTAAAGTGTCCTCATCAAATTATACATTAGATGTCAATTTCTTTTAAATGTTGTAAAGCATCACTAGCCAGACGGTGCCTTAATCAAAATTTGCATTAAATTCCAGAAATGGTACACACATTCTATTTGACCAAGTTGGAAAAAAACACGAAAGTTTCTGTTATCCATTAAAATCAATCTATGTAGTTTGGTAAAAATAAATCAGTAGTACAATTCAAATCCCCATTTGCTTATTAATATATATCTATTTGAAATCATATAGTTTTCAGTTGTAAAAGATATTCATTCAACCAGTTTTATATGTTAAATAAACAAATGTTGATTCAAATCATTAGATGTTAGTTCAGCAGTCTAAATTAAAAGCTTTTGTCTCAACCTCTGAATGTTCTTAGTTTAATCCTTAATGGGATCATAAGAGAAGTAAAACCTATCTAATAATTTTCATTTTCAATGAGTTGTGCACCGAAAAATAATCAATATTATTAACTATCTACTAAAAGGAACAATCTCGACAAACTTCTTATCTCGACAAATTTGTAAATATCAGAAAGGATTTTATGGAGATTTTAGAAATGTCTAACTTCAATCAATCCACGAAATTGCGACACCGTACACCATTGTCTTCAGTGAGTCGATATCTCATAACAGATCTGGTTGAACTCCACTGGTCACGGCTTCTCACTAGAACTCCAGGAAATGCCTCTTGAATTCAGTCACTAATGAGCAGATGATTATTATCATAAGGGGATCGTGGATGTGCATTGCTGAGGAGTCTCATACTAGGACGAAACGGCCGTCCAGTGCTTTCAGGTTTTTCATGACGGTCTAGCTTCAATTGACTCATGATTTTAACTAATGAAATTTATAAATACTGAACATGGTTTATAATAATTAGAAAAGAATGAAGAAATAATCTGACCGCTTTCTTTTTACACATTAATTTTGTTTATTTTCCTATATAGTTGGTGATAAAGTACCGGCTGATATGAGAATAATAAAAATTATGAGTACAACATTAAGAGTGGATCAATCCATTTTAACTGGTGAATCTGTATCTGTAATTAAATTCACTGATGCTGTACCAGATCCAAGAGCGGTTAATCAAGATAAAAAGAATATTTTATTTAGTGGAACTAATATTGCAGCTGGTAAAGCGAGAGGTATAGTAGTATGTACTGGTCTTATGACTGAAATTGGTAAAATTCGTAATCAAATGATGGATACAGAACCAGATAAAACACCATTACAACAAAAATTAGATGAATTTGGACAACAGTTATCAAAAGTAAGTGATCTATTGTTTGAATATTTTTTTAAAAAAAACATGAATTATATATTTTCTCTTGATACTATGACAATTATTCAAAGTCTAAAGTAGTTGAGGTAATCATCAAGAAACCTAGATTTTCTGCTACTTTATTCTTGTCGTTAGGGTGCATCTTCTAATTTGAGGAAAACTAATGCCCAGTGACCAATCTTCTGTAGAACTGAGTGATCGAAGAGTTATAAATAGCATGATATCAAGGTCTAAGTTCATCTGTTAAGCAACTCTAATCAACTATTACCAAACACAGATTATTACAAAATTGAGTGAAACAGACTAGTGACATAACGTAGTTTGCACAAGTTTTAGATGAATGTAATTTCTAGCTAAAACTATGTGTACAAAATAAGTTTATAACCATGCTTTCATTTTCATGGTCTCAGTCTACATAAATAGTTTCCTTATTTAACCCCTTATATTCTAATTTTAATCTTACTGTTTTCACTTTAGTGATACGTTACTTCTTGTCTCTGTCTCCTCTCTAATTTATTACAATTTAACATTCTGATCTAATAATTTATAAAATTCATTTGTTTCTGTCTGTTCGAATCCTGTTCACTTACTCATAATAAGATTTAGTTTTTTGCTAAGAAAAAGTTCATATACATATCATCATGTCTCTACCTCGCATGGATTAGCTCCACTGGTTACAGTTTCTCACTAGAACTCAGACAATTCCCTCACGATGCTAATCACTAGTGAACACATTGAATAATCAATCTTAATATTGTCTCAAGATAAAGTGTTGACATCAATCAATACTATTCCATGGAGCATTTTAAATTTATAAGATTAAAATACAGATCGCTCACAATAATAAATAGTTGTTTGATTAAATACTGTTAATAAATTTAGAATTTGTAAATTAATATCACCTTCTCATTGTATATTTGTGAACGTGATAGTTTAAACAACCTGGAAGAAAATATTATTATCAGTTGATGAATTAAAAGACATCAAAAGCCATAGAGTATCAACAAGTTTATTATTATTATTATAAGAATCCTCATGTATATATACTGGCCCCATATTATACAGATTAATATTGTGATATGTGCTACTGATGTCGATAGATATATGTAGTATGTGCCATTAATCGAAAGTGAAATATCCGGTGGCAGAAGGTTAAGAAGATCAAAGAAAAGAGAACAATAACAGAGAATAATTGGTGTGGAAACGAAAGAACAACAAAGTCTGAGTCAATTAATTGACATTTTGCAAATAAATTATTTACTATATGGTTCTCAGATTTTACTAAGATATTCTATAATTTAGTGTTCAAATACATTCGATTATCCCCCTTTGTGTTCTCGTTCACTACAATATCATTACTGTATTCTGATGGTATCCTGATGTAATAATTAGTTGTTCTTTTCCATTTCAATGAATTATGATCTGAAGTACAATTTAATGTACACTGACTGCTTTTTATACGAAATGTATCGATTCTCTTCCTTTTTTTGAGATCGTTAAATGTCAAGTCTAAATGGCAAATATTTTATTCAACCATCTTATTACACTTCATTTGATTATTGTATTACTGAGTGAGCTTATAAAATCATTTTAACATGATAATATAAACTAGAATTTATCTGACTAAATAGCTTAATTTTATTCATTGCCATTATTTCTCAACTTCATATTCAATCAATCATCTTTAATCGGACTAAAATTTTGTTTTTACCACAAAATTAAACTATTTCGTTGTTTGAAATAAAACAAAGCAACATGATTAAATTTTTTTTTATCTAACAAAATTAAACTTTTAGTAATCTGTTTATTGAATATTATTCAATTCAGTACATTGAAATATATTATCTACTTACTTACCTACTTATTTACGTCTATTACCTCTCTTGGAGGAATATAAGTCGCTTACCAGCATTCTCCATTCAGTTATGTTTTGAGGTTGCTAACCCCACTCCCAACCCTACTGATTTACTTGAGCTTGAAACAGGCAGTAGCCCTAGAAGTGATACAGGAAGGAGTTATACTGTTTACTTAAAATGATAGTTTTTCTTTTTTTTTAAAAATCGATTTCATTTCAGCAACAAAAGATAGAACACACTTAAATCGGATCAGTTTTTATTTCAATAATTCAATTTGGTTCTATTTTGTTTAAATAGGGTTCAGATTGTGTCTAAAAGATTACAAATTTCAACATTATTATTATGATATAGATTTTTTTATTTTGCTTTTATTGATTTTAAAAATTTATTATACTAAGCAACACATTTATCATTTGTGTTATAGAAGCACTTGTGAACAATTCAATGTAACATGTGATCTGATTATTAAAAATAAAATCTCAATATCTATCATTTATAGATTTGAACATATGTGTTAAGTGCATCTTAACCTATAGTAAAACAATATATTAGATAAATGATATTTTGAAATGATAACCAATTTGTCAATAATATACAGCACTGTAAAAATCAAATTATTGATGAAGGGAAATTTACTGATTAGAAATAGTTGAAATAATGGGAACCAGTGATTAATGAGATTTAATAACAAGGATATGATCTAAAAGTATATTTAGATTGTTAATGGTCTTCAGTTTGAATCTGTTCTTAACTCTATTCATTCATTGTTCATGATACTATCTCTTAGTTTTTATCCTTTTCTCGGTATTTTGTTTCTTTTTTATACCATGTTGTATGACAATATGAATGGATAAGAATTGAGAAAAGAATCCTTATCAGAAACTTATGTCATCAGGCAAAACATTGAAGACTCAATTCTACTAGACACTTTCTAGATCTAGGTAGCTATATGTCAGAGGATGCGACACCCACTGCACCAAAAGAGCTTGAATCTATAACCTTGAAACCTGATAGTGGATGCAAAATATATGAATCCACTCATCAGAAACTCAATACTCCTAAATCCACGCCAATTTGCCAAATAAAGCAATACTATTATTTATTGTCAATAAACAATGTCATTGTCTTACTACCAACTTAATCAAATCCAGGGATAATGGTATTATAGATGCCTAACCACCATAATTCTTTTTGTTTTCATAAGCTTAAAAACATTGTAACTCGCATAGATATGTAAGAGGAAATTAGGAAAAATGTGATCCTATTATTATTATTATCACTAGTAATAATAATATTAATAATAGTGGTAGTAGTAGTATTACTAACATAATGATTATTAAAGACTGTCGTCTATCGTTCATTAGTGCAGGTTATACGCGGTTGAACTCTGATTTACATATAATAGCCAATCGTAAGAGTATAAGGCACTACACTGTTTGTCGTTAGGTCACTAATCCAAACATTTAATTTTCTGGTATAGATATTTGAGGAAAGATGGTACGAAATTAGCGGTCACACACATTCGTAAGTTTACTAGTTAGTCGATTAGCTGAATGACATGGAACAACTTTTTTTGATGTTAATAATTATCAGTCTATAACCATATACCAAGCGATTCGACTGAAGGTATAAAGATGAGCGCAGCATATAAGAATGTCATTTTCACCAGAAATTTTATAGAAAACAATGAACCTTATTATATCCGTGTTTTCATTTAGTATAATAGAATGATCTAATCTGACGTTCTAATAACATATGGTTGTAGATAATCTCAAAATGAAACTTCTGGTGAAAATTACACTCTTATATGCTGCGCCCGCTCACTAAGTAAAGGAAAATTTGTCTGGAAATACTGGATAGTGTATACTTGCTTAAGATTGGAAAATGGCCGGAATACTACGGTCAACTCAGAGTGACCGGCGAAAGAAAACCCTAAATTGAAATTAATACGCATAACAGTGTTAGATTTTCATACTGGAAACTAATCATTCCGATGAAAATAGACATCATAACAGGCAGTGGACTAACCATTAATCATTCTTGTCTAATTTACAATCATTGTTTAAACTCTTAAACCGTAGGACTAAAATTACTTTATACCCTTCTTTCTACGAACTAATTTTTTCTCCCTGTATCATATTCTTATGCGCTATTTTTTATATATTACTACCATTGAAGTAACTACTTCTATGAATTTGATGTTCATCTTGTTATGCTAATGAGGTATGACAAGCTGAACCGATGCATATGTGTGCCTGGCTGTACGTTATAGCTGACTGACGGACTAACGATCCCTTAGACTTCAGCCAAAGCATCCACTCATTACTCTAATTGATTTTCACCAACAATCCACTTAATAATAGCTTATGATTAAAATAATCTTTTTTGCTTTCTGTTAACTCAATTAATTTATAATGCTTACGGAATAGTTGAAAGTTTTTTCACACTTATACACCCTAAATTATATACGTTTGCACGTGTAGAGTAGTTTTAATGTGTGATGAGCATTTATGTGTAAGTTAGTTAAAATTCATGTCTAACTGTTACCAAACTTACCTGTATTGTATACATTATAGGATCCTTGATTTCTTCGTTTAATGATTGAAATTTCTCCCTTTCTGTCGAACAACTGCATGAATAAAATTTAACTATAAGGTATATGTGTATGCATAAATTAAAATAGTCATTATGTACAACAGTGAATGATAAAGTCACTAAGAAAAAAGCTAATAATTTAAACGATACTAATATGACTGATAGGTCCGGGGTTCGAATCCCAAGAGGCGGTGTCGTGGATACGCACTGCTGAGGAGTCCCACAATAGGACGAAACGATCTTCCAGTGCTTCAAGGTTTTCCATGGTAGTCTAGCTTCAACTGATTCATGATCTCAACTATTGAAAATACTAGTATGAAATTTTACGAAAAAAAGTACATAAATTTATATGAGATAATTACTGATAGTATTCATACTTTTAAGAATATTGATTTCAACTGATAATCCCAATTTCACCTAATCTACTTATTCTGATTGGTTAATAGATATTATGAATTGGTGATTAGATTTGATTAATGGAACAAATACACCTCCTCTATTCTCTCTCACTTTCACTCTCCTATTAGATTTTCCGTATAGGATTTCCTCCTTTTCTTCTGTCTGAATGAAGTAAATAAATACTAGGCAAAGTTCGGATGATTTTCAGTAAATGTATATTAATTCAAGAAAAGAACTACGCGTGTGTATATTTTTATGTGTAGACAAGTGTAGATGTGTTGTATACATGCACATTGTTAATATGTGTACCTGATACTGAATATATATGTTGTAAGTGTGCATAGCATTATAGATCTTTAAAAGCATGATAACCTCCGAGTCAGACAATCATTTCAACCATAGGCTCAGAAGTCTTCACTATAAACACTGTTGATTAGATGAAATCTCATTTTAATTATATTCACTTTTTAATTGTCTTTTAATCATGTATCGTTGGTCGCTGTATATTAATATATTTTTACTACTTACTTCTATCACATTTGCAATTGCAGTATGACTTAGACATAGTTATACGCTTTGATGTCAAAATATGTCATGGGTACAGAAAGTGAAAGTTTGTGAATAACCAAATATAATAGGTAACAGATCCGTGTTGATCACTGACAATGTGTGAATTTGCATAAACTTCCTGAATTTTTTGTTTAATGAAATTGGTTAGGTTAAAAATTTGTAGTCGGAATTATTTACATACAATAGGTTTAATTTACTTGGTGATGGGATTTGTATGTATGATCCAATACATATCTTTTTCAATGATGACTTTTTGATTTCATTCTATCTCACCCAATTCTATTACTTTTAAATCTTTAGTTCTTCTTAAATACTTTTCTTCTGGTTTCTTATTTCCAATTTGTGGTTAAGAAATAAGTTGTTAACATTGTTGAGGGATTTATGAAGAATTAAGAATTTTCATAGCTTAGATTGTGAATCGATTGTAGATAGACCACCACTGAAAACATTGAAGAACCAGACAGCTTTTTCGTCCTGATATGGGACTTCTCAGTAATGATTATGCACGACCTCTCCAAGAACAATCAAGCTCAGGACATTCGGCTATGCAATATTGTGAATTAAATGAAGTTAGACATATAGACCCTTAAATCTCATCTCACTGGTATAGAGGTTAAGTATTCCCTCACATGACTGAAAGCCTTGGGTGCTGTCCTATGTGTAGTGGTCTTAAATATGCATCGGCATATCAGGAAGAAACAGCTGTTCAATGTTTCCATGTTTTAATGGTGGTCTATCTATGATCAGTTCGTGATTTAAACTACAAAAATATCTTTGTAATTTAATTCAAATTTACTCAGCGAACACAGAAGTTCATTTACTCGTCTTCGAGTTGTGTACAAAATTAATATGACTATGCAGCTAACTGTAACTGAAGTTGATTGAATGCAGTTTGACCATGTAACATAAATGCAGAATAAGTTCATTACTATGCTACCATTTGAAATTAAGTGTCTAACGACTAATATTCATAGTACTGTTCCATTAATCAGTCAGTAATATTAACTGAATACATCTTGAAAATAATTAAAATAAACCATTGTGACAATGAATAAAAATAATAAAGAGAATTCAATGAAGAAGATTTTCTTTTCGATGAAATCATTTGCTTAAGCTGTACATTCGTATTTATAGTTATATAGAAAATATATGTGCATAGAAGGATAGAAAAGATTGAATCATAAATTGATTCGACACTCTTATTACCAAATGACGCTACACAATAATCAATGGTTAAGATAAGAATATAAAGCTGGAAATAATTTACAGGTCTGAATTATGAAAGATAATCTTGAAAATACTATAAAAAAATAAAGTACATTTTAATAACCTTTACAGTGGTTAATTTGTTTTCTGAACAGGTTACTTAGTACATTTTATTGATTTTGTCCAAATGGTTTTTCATCACTGGGACGAATGGTCAAATGGCTACAAATTATTTTCTTTAAAATAGATGATAGATTTTGCTTTCAGTCGAGGTGAATCATTGACTACCAAAAATTACATCATTTATAAACAATAAACAATCGATTAAATAATCTGCAAGAAATTTCTAATGAACTAACATTCTATTGACTGACATTGGTTAGACAAATGTTAAAAACTAGGAAAAACAAGAGCCGTTTCATCCTCATATGAAACTCCTCAGTTGTGTACGTCAATGACTAATTGTGAATCGAAGAACAATTTTCCTTATAGACTTTATCAACTGAACAACTATTGTTAACTGGACATACAATGAATAAAGGTTGTGATCTATTAAGCAAAGCTAACTATACTTTAAGATGTGAGACAGAATATTTAAACATAATGTTTGAGATGGTATCGTATTCAGTTGAATGCTTGAATCAATACTGAGTATTTGCAATAACCAATCAAATAAATATCTGGTTTATTTCTAATACATAAATTATTAGGTTAATCTCCACCCAAACATCTAAGTGGCAACACTTCTGATTGCAACTCAAAGTGATCGTGACGAGAACATTTCAGGGAACATCAAGTGTTTGCTGAGAATAAATAAAGCTTGTTGGTGTTTACCAGCTAGCATGGTGTTTAGAGCCAACGATTCTGGTGTATACCTTCAACAACATAACGAAATTCCATTATCTGACTTTGTGTTTAAACCTGTGCGTACTTCTTGATGGAGAATACTAACAGACTCAATATAAAATAGTGTTTTAAGGAATTTCTGCAGTCATTTTCAGCAACTGGACATCTCATTATCCTTTTTTTTAGTTACGTTGCTTGTTCGATTAACGGGAACTAACCCAGAGTACTATTCATGAACCTTCAATTTCAAAAATTTTACTTCATATTGTTCACTTTTTGAAATAATTAGGTTATTTCAATTATTTGTGTCGCTGTATGGGCAATCAATATCGGACATTTCAATGATCCAGCACATGGTGGTTCTTGGCTAAAAGGTGCTATTTATTATTTTAAAATTGCTGTCGCCTTAGCTGTTGCTGCTATTCCTGAAGGTTTACCAGCTGTGATTACAACGTGCTTAGCATTGGGCACACGTAGAATGGCTGCAAAAAATGCTATTGTCCGTTCACTTCCATCGGTTGAAACATTGGGTTGTACAAGTGTTATTTGCTCCGATAAAACAGGTACACTGACTACAAATCAAATGAGTGTATGCAGAATGTTCATCTTTTCTAAAGCTGATGATAAAGCACCAGAAGTGCATCACTTTGAAATAACTGGATCTAAATATGCACCAGAAGGTGAAGTGTAAGTTACATATTTTGATGAGAGTTTACTTTATTTCTCAAATTATTTATGATAACACAAAAGATTCATTTCGTCTTTTAGAGAAAGTCATTTTCAAAATAAGTTAAATGTATTAAATAAAGTTAGAATAGTAGCTTACAGTCGAATCCAGGATGAGTCTTAAATAGAATGAAACGTTCATCCTGGGCTGCACTATTAACGACAATTAAAACATGTGAAGCAATCCTCACAAAATATACGAATGTTGAAAAAGATCAATCACTTGTAGTCTATAGTTTTAGCAATGAGGATATAAAAAAATTCTGTAATTTGTAACAAAATAAGATGATTATTAGGAAAGGAATTGATAAAACTTTATCTTATACTGTAGATAATATTCAACATTTATTAATCTCATATATGGATCCATTAAAAATTTATTTAAATGTAGGGTGTTGTTTGTGTTTAACTAAACGATAATCGTGTATCTATTCAAATCTTCACGATACGTTACTCAGCATTTCACTATAGCTATTATGATATGTGTGTGTTTGATAAATGAAGTTATGAACAAGTGCTGATTGACTTAAACAGTTTACGTTTGCAACAAAATGATAGGTTGAGCTAGAACGGAAAGTACTGGAAACTGAATCCCAGACTTTTGGATAAACGTTAACACCATGAAACAGGAAAGCACGATGAACACATCTCTCCAGTCCTTTTCACTTATAAATTACACGTTAGAACAGATCTCTAATTCAGTAATGACAAGAAAACAACTACTATTACTTAATGGCACTGTCCACTAGTATTAATCTTTGTGTATGTGAAGAATATTAGTATTTTAATTTATGTACTATATTCACGTGATTATAATTTACGTGTGAACAAATAAATGAATTAATAATGAAAAGTATGTCATTTGTCCAACTTAGCTTTATTCATCACCACTAAAGCTCAACTACCAATAAAAAAGAATGTGAGAGGACAATACAATACTCAATGTACATGATCAGTCACTATGTATTTTTCGTATATGCGTTGATCCACCAATTTGATTAATGGTAATGAGACAAGAATTGCCTGATCAAATAATATATTATTCTACCAATAATAATTAACATGATCCATTATTTGGAACGATTAGTTGAAATGTTATCAGAAACATGCACTAGGACCATCGTTTTACTTGATGAATTATTCTGATAAATAATTTATATGAAAAATAATATAGTTTCTTGTAAATGAATTCAATTTAGTTGACCGATAATTTAGGAGACATAAAGTTTTTATTTGGTTTATCATAATCATATCAGATCACACACCATAAAGCATCACGAAAAGAACTGTCATTTTATAATTTTATACACAAAAACCGCATTAAACTAGATTCCTGATTACAACATCATTTATTTAACTATTGATTATCCGACTTGAAAGTCCACATCTCTGTTTTGATCTAAGTTACTTGCTTACTTACTTAATTACTTACTCCTGTTACTGCTCGTGACGGAGCATAGGCCACTCACCAGCACTCTCCATTCAAAACTGTCCTGGAAAATCCTTTCCAACTCTTTCCAGGTGTTATTCATCCTTTCCATATCTGCTTCTATTTCCCAACGTAATATGTTCTTTGGCCTTCCTCTCTTCCGTTTCCCTTCAGGATTCCAAGTTACGGCTTGCATCGTGATGCAGTTTGATGATTTCCATAATGTATGTCCTATCCATTTCCATCATCTTTTTCTAATTTCCTTTTCATCTGGAAGCTGGTTTGTTCTCTCCCACAGTAGGCTGTTACTAAAGGTACCTGGCCATTGGATGTTGAATGTCATGCGTAGACAACCAACTTGTACCTTCTTGATGATGGTTGTAGTGGTTCTCCAAGTTTCAGCTCCGTACTAGGTTACTAAGTATTATGTGTGCTCATAATATATGTACTTAAGACTACTTGTATTTACCACCCAAACTTACAGTTTTTTTCTGGAATTATAGTCATTTCATATAGCTTTTAAAATAAATTATATATCTGTCGCAATATTTCATTTAAATATGTCAAGTGATTATACTTTCGCTTTAGACTTTGCTATCAAAATGATAACTGTATAATGAAGGTCAATGTTAAAAAAGTAAGCCGGAACTGATGGGATTCAACGGTGACAAGGCAATTACTCACTGAAGAAAATAGAATATGGTTGGGCTGTCGTAAAATTGTTTGTAACACTATTAGATACCGACTGTGTGGTCTAAAGGTTAGGCTCTTGTTTCGGGATCCCAAGGTCCTGAGTTGAATTTCCAGAATACTAATTAAGAATAAATGAAGTTAATCAAATTTATTTAGATCTTTCACAGTTTTTTTTTCTCAGTAACGGTTACATGACTTGTAAGTAATGTCTCTATAATCGCAAAATCACATTTTAACTATTATTTTATTTATCATTAATTTTGTATTCATGTAGATTTTTAAATGGTCAAAAAGTTGAATCTGGTGAATATGATGGGCTTGTTGAAATTGCAAATATCTGTGCCATGTGTAATGATTCAGCTATTGATTATAATGAATCTAAGCATGTTTACGAAAAAGTTGGTGAAGCGACAGAAACTGCATTATGTTGTTTGGTTGAAAAGATGAATGTTTACAAGACTTTAAAATCTGGATTATCCAAGAAAGATTTAAGTATGGCTTGTAATCATCAAATTCAGGTATATTCTAATCGAAATTTCCGTTGTTTTTTTCGACAGTGTTAATTTACTACATTTTACTTATTTGTAAATGTCTTCTTGAAGAGAATTCTTTTTAAGATGGCTTTCTTTTGCTCAAACTTCATTGTAGTAGGATTAACCTTGGAACAGATGTATATTCAATTCATTCACATTAATAAAATAGAATTTGACCAATCAGCAGTTACTGTTACTTTAGTATGGAGTGTACTTCGTACATTTTAAATCCAAAGTACTTCCCAAAGACTGTCAGGGGCTTGTGTTTCATTTCACAGTTTATGGTCATCCGTTAAAATTGGTCTAAAAGTTCATGCATTTGAGTAGTTGTGTGTGTTGATGATGGCATAAAAGATGAAGTCCATCTACGAAAAGTGAAAATCAGGGTGTCTTATACTGACCTAGCTCATCTTTGAAGCAGCTGTGATGTTATTTTAGTTGTAAAACGTTGGTTTAGAACAGCTTTTTTCTGTGCTGTGAAGCTTAACCAATCTGAACTAAACATTTCAGACAACGTTCTCTGTCTGGCCACTGTTGTTTCCAAAGAGCTACTGATATCCAGTGGCAACACTACGTGAGTAATTCTAATATTCGGCAGTTTAGTGAAGATAATTCAATTAGTGTTATGATTTTAAAACAGAAGGGTCGTCGATATGGACAAATATGAATGCTGTTCCGGGTGGTAACCGCACCATAAATTACTCTCCGACACTGAGACTAAGTAGAAAATTCTCAGAGTTGATCAGTTAATGATGTGGCACTGAAGTATGGAAAATGTATAGGACTGGTATCCGTCGAATAATCACCGCACTCTGGTTAAGGCATAAGAGGCGGTACAACTCGTTGGCTTCAGAAGTTATTAGACATGGCTCATAATAGAAAAAAAATGACAGCGTTGCTTTGATTATTTTTATATTCCTCACTAAATTGAAAGGAATTTCTTTAACTGAAAGTAACAGTTTTCGATTGTACTTTTAATTAAACTTCATCAGTTTAATGTTACAATAGATCTTTGACATTTGAATAAAAACCTTAGAAGTCATATAAAATGGATTACCCATTTGGTAATTTTAACAACAGATGAAAACGTTATGGGTAGTTGCTATTTAATAATCATTTGGAAATCTTATATAGTGAATATAATGTTGATTTTAGTTTAATAATAAACAATTGCGTCTAGTCATTCTAGTCATTCACTAAGTGGACTATCAAATTTGGATGTTTGTAATTGCACTCAACATCCATTAAATGTCAAATAAAACATTCTTTTTGTTGAAACATGTTTTTTTTAAAAAAAGCTTATATCAGTTGAAGTACCATAAAGAAGCATGGAGCACTGAAAAACTGTTTCGTTTTAGTTTATGATCCTAAATGAGCTTGAACTTTTGAGTTCCTTGACATACATTTAAATCAATCAGTCAGAACTGTATAGGTTAATATTTTCATTTCAGTCAGTTCATGATATAGCACGATCTGTATTCAACGTTTTCAATGACCTACTGTCTTCTTACCCACCTACCCCTAACCCTATTAATTTGACTCGGTTATTATCTGTTTCTTACAACAACAAAAAAGACAAATAGCTTTACGAAACCATTTACATTCACATCCTAAAGTGATTTCTTTTCCCCAAAAAAAATGTATCAACAATATTTTAAATAAAAAGCATAAATCAAGTTTGCGGTTTGTTACAAGCTATACCCTAATTAATAATGACAATTCTACTGTACATTTCAGTCATTTAAAAGTGTCATCACATTGTATACGATATTCATCTCTTTAAGATGAATATAATTAATGGACTTTATTGAAATACTTCAATAATAATATTATATGAATAATAAATCATTAGTAAATCAATTTGTGCAATACAACATTAACTAAGCACTAAATCCTTATGATTACCAGATTAAAACAATTAAACGTAAAGTAGTTATTTAATAACATTTTGAAAAACTAAAACTGAATGTCATTCATTAGTAAGATACATTTTGTACAATATACATAACAATTAATTGACAATCTGTTTAAAATCTCTACCCATGATTCTTAAGTATACGTTGTATTATATGCATTGGGACAATGAATGATAAATTGTTACGAATTATGTCAGATAATAGATAAGTGGTAACGATAAGATTCTGGTAAAAATAAACCTATCGCAACTTACATAGAATATTTCACAGGTTGAAATCATGAGTCAGTTGAAGCTAGACCACCATGGAGAACTTGGAAGCACTGGATGCCCGTTTCGTCCTAGTATCAGACTTCTCGGCAGTGCGCATCCACCATCCCGCACCCCATGGGATTCGAACACAGGACCTACTGGTTTCGCGCGCGAGCACTTAACCACTAGACCACTGAGCTGGCATCCAATAGTGTTAATGTCTAATTTCAACCAATCCACGAAGTAGCGCCACCGTACACCATTGTCTTCAGTGAGCTGATATCTCACAACAGACCTGGTTGAACTCCACTGGTAACGGCTTCTCACTAGAACTCCAGGAGTATCTCCTGAAGTCAGTCACTAGTAAGCAGTTGATTATTACCAGCTTGTGAAATTTCTAAAAATCTCCACAGAACCCATTCTGATTATATAAAATAGACAGGATGTGATTAACAATAGAATCCAGGATAGTCGTTTCGTCTCGTTCGGGACTCACCAGCAGGGTCTACTTGGTTCCCAAAGTTGATGTTCTACTGTTAGTTAAATCCTATCCACTATATGTGAACTTGTAACTTATTGGTTATATTGAAGCCATCATCACTTAATGCACATATACCAATCAAAACTGGTCAAATTTCAGTCGAAATATCAAAAACAGGATAATCTAAACCATTACAAATTACCACAACTCAGATTAGCATAATATGATTTCCAGTTCCATAGAAAGCAAACTGTTTTGATAACTGATAACTAGAATGAATTCACTGGCATCTCGGAAGAATAATAGTTTAATCACTTCTAAAGCAATGTTATTTTCTTAATATCAATCAGCTGATCCGTATGAATTAATAAGTATTCAATGACCACTTTAGTTGTGAGAAGCATAGAAACTTCAGAAGCCAAATACAATAAATGAATCGATTATTTATGCACAACTGAAATTAAATAAGTAAATAAGAAAGCTGGAAATTTTACACCAGATCCGATAATACAGTTTATCTAAATGTCATAAATAGAGTCACGTAAATGTGACTTTGTCATTTCAATTGTTCATTGAATGATTTGTTATTAGATGTGATTTTAGTTTGAACTTGGATGGATAAGTACATCCCCTTTTCAGTGCAAACTATTGCATTCCAATTACCTATTCACATATGAAATAGTCAAAGTCGAACTTAGAAACTTGAAACGTTTAACTATTCCCAAATGCGTGAGGATACTCTTCAACTTTCCAAATGTATTTTGAACTTGTTTATGTAAACAGCTTATTTATTTACGATATTTCTTATATATATATATACGTTTAAAACTATTTCAGGCCATGTGGAACAAAGAGTTCACTCTAGAATTTTCACGTGATCGTAAATCAATGTCTGTTTACTTACAAGCTAAACCAGCGTTTTCATCCAAAGTCCCAGCTACTGCAGGTTCCGGAGAGACAGGACCTAGAATGTTTGTTAAAGGTGCGCCTGAAGGCGTATTGGATCGGTGCGCATTTGTACGTATAGGCAATAAGAAAGTACCCATGACACCTGCATTGAAAGCTGAAATAGTGAAACATGTAGCATCTTATGGAACTGGTCGTGATACGCTAAGATGTTTGGCTTTAGCAACGTGTGATGCACCAGTGAGCAAAGCACAGATGGATTTGGAAGATTCGACTAAATTTGTTAAATATGAAGTAAGTTATTTGACTAATTATACAATTGTTTTATAATCCACAATCTATTGACTTTAAGTTAAAACGAATCAATGTGAAAAAAACGGTGTATGATCTGTCACGATTAAGCTGTCCGGTCAAAGATGATTGGTTAACAGCTATTAATCTCAACATAATGTTTAAATTAAGTCAGCAGGATTAACTATATTGTTTCTCAACCTATCAGTTTTCTTTAAGATGAAGCATGAGATATCCATACCAAACAATCTAAAGAATGGAGGAAACTAATTTTCTAAAGTATCAAACTATATAAATAATGACTTCAATGAATAAGATATAAAATCTTTTCCTACCTCGTAACATATTCAAGTGTATTACACAACACCTTAAATCTATATTGTTGTCAAATTATTAGATTGATTAGATTCAATTCTCAAATAGTAGTCCATTGAACAATATTCCTTAAGTGAAATAATGTCCTAACCTTTCAACTCAATAAGTGACATTGAAAAAATAACCTATAGATCATTATATAGTTATTCAGTTGTATTATTCATGAATTACTTTTGTTATACTGCTTGATTACACAAACATTTAATTTGTATCCAAATTTCACTTTAATGTAAATAAAAAATATATGATAATGATTTCAAAATGAATCAATTTCATACTATAATTTTCTTTATATTTAGCAAAATTTAACATTTGTTGGAGTTGTCGGTATGTTGGATCCACCACGTATGGAAGTATTTGACAGTATAGCAAGATGTCGTAAATCTGGTATACGTGTTATTATGATAACTGGTGATAATAAAGCAACAGCTGAAGCTATTTGTCGACGTATTGGTATTTTTGGTGAAGATGAACCAACTACGGGGAAATCTTTTACAGGACGTGAATTTGATGCATTACCAATTGAAGAACAAAGAGAAGCATGTAGACGAGCAAGATTATTTGCACGTGTTGAACCTATGCATAAAAGTAAAATTGTAGAATTTCTTCAAGAAGATGGTGAAGTATCTGCTATGGTAAATATATTATTATTTTCATAAAACTACTTTCAAATCAAGTGTTAGTTATGCTTTTAAATTCTGTTTGAAAAGAAGGATCTAGAAATAATATACACTGATAAAATATCACAACGTATTTTCATTTGGTATTATTTTCAATTCAATCAACTGATGGATTTATGTATTTATGTGCATACTGTACCTTGAACACTATAAATATTACATTAAGATCTAGATCATCATTAAAGTTGTGGTGCGTGCTACTTATATTGATATAAGTAGTATATGACGCGAGTCAGGAATGTAATGTCTGGCAACAGAAGATAGGGAAGATCAAGAAAGGAAGAGCTGGAATAGAAAGCAATTAGTATGGAAATGCAAGAACAACGAAGTTCGAGACAATTATTGAACATTTTGCAAATAGGGTATTATAGTATGGTTTTTCTATTTTACCAAGTAACTTTGTAATGTTGTGCCAAATTTATACGGTTGTCCTCACCTGTGTTCTCCTTCACTACGATGTGTTGAAATACACTAACCACCTACTGTTCAACGAATACTAGTTGTTATTAGACGTTAAACTTTTTTTAATTAATTTACAAAACTATATAAAGTGAATTTACAGAATTATCAACTTTTCGGCATTACTGTCGATTACATTTTTACGATATTTTGTACTTGCTATTGGTAAACGTTTGGTTATTTGATTTATCTCGTTTCACTATCTTCTAATAGATTGGTGTTTTATAGATTTGGTATGGTAATTCGGTGTATGATTTTGACATAGTTCGTATCGTAAACAGTGTTAATAAATAACTCAACTATCTTCAGAGTATGTATTACTTTCACAATATTTATTTCATTGTATGTGATCAATCCCGAAAAATACGTAAGCTGAGAACATAGAATCGTCATTTCATGAGAAGTAATTGACCATACCCATGTAGTGAACATAACACGAGTGGGGACAATTGAATTTATTTAACACAAAATTACAGGACTTGTTAATAGAATCCAACAATCATAAAGTAAATGCTTAATTTGCAAAATGTCCATCGATTGTCTCAAAATGACTCAGACTTCATTGTTCTTGAATCTTCATACAAATTGTATTTAGTTTCCATTCTTTATTGCTCGATCCTCTTGTCTCTCTGCTGCCAGACCTTCTGTTCACGACTAACATCATGTACTAATTATGTCAATATAAGTAGTATACACCACATCCATAAAATCCAGGTTCCTAAAATGATCTTTTTTGTTATCTAAATACACTATTATGATAAGCAGGCTACAATGAGACGATTTAACACTTTAAAATTGTGAAAGGGATGAGTTAACTAACGCTTCTGGACTTCTAGGGATGTTTTGTGATATGGAAACAGAGAAAGGAAAAAATATTGTCATAAATAGACAGTATTTTGAATAAGATTTATGCAACTTAAGGTCTGTGAAAAATCGTTTTGATGACTACATATAGCATATTTATTAGAGAAAAAAAGTGCTGAAGTTGATCAAAATTATATCATTCGATCTAAATGAACAGAGAACAACACACGCGAAATATGAAACAGCTTGGATTAATTCGATCAGGTTAAAATTTAATGAATACATTGGACACTGTGATCTAATCAACAAGTAGATATTGTCAAAACGTTTGAATATTTAAAGATGAGACCTAATCAAAGTCATATTCTATAGACAATTTAACTTTTCAAATCATCATGTTCAGATCACTTATAATTGTCTTGCATACATTGATGGTATTCTATATTTGATTTATACTTATCTTGATAGTTCAATGGAATTTATTTAAATTTCACTTTTCACAATAAATTAAAATGATATTAGTATCAGAAGGGGTTTTATGGAAAGTATAGTAATTTTAATAGTTGAGATCATGAGTCAAGTGAAGCTAGACCAGCATGGAAAACTTGGAACACTGGATGACCCTTTCATCCTATTGTGGCACTTCTCAGCTGTGCGCATCCACGAGCTCGCCTCGTGAGATTCGAACTCAACTTCGTGGATTAGTTGAAGTTAAACATTAATACCGTTGGATCCCGGTTCAATGGTTTAGAGGTTTAGCTTTTGTGCGCGAGATTGATAGGTCCTGGGTTTGAATCTCGCGAGGCGGGATCATGAGTGCGCACTGCTAAAATAATATTGCCTCGCTATGTAATAAAACGTTTCCATTTATATTAAAAACAATACATCTTTACTCATCTATTATTTGTTTTCCTTTCCTAATATAACAAAACAAAAATCAATTAATTATAACAATATTACTAACAGACTGGTGATGGTGTAAATGATGCACCAGCATTGAAAAAAGCAGAAATTGGCATTGCTATGGGAAGTGGTACAGCTGTAGCTAAATCAGCAGCTGATATGGTATTAGCTGATGATAATTTCAATTCTATTGTTTTGGCTGTTGAAGAAGGACGTGCTATTTATAATAACATGAAACAATTTATTCGTTATTTAATTTCATCTAATATTGGTGAAGGTTAGTTGATTTTATTTTGATGAAATTAGATAAGGCATTATTTCTAAATAATGGTTCAATTATCATATAATAAGCGTATAGATGATTACGTCTAATGGAAAGAATTACAAATCTAGATTTTGTTGATATCAGTACTTGCTATCCAAATCAGTTCTTAAATTTCTTTAAAACTTATATATCTAATTCATCGAATTTCATAGTTTAGATACTAAATGTTTATAAACAACTCTGTCATGGGCAATCCTTTCCATCTTTTTACAGTTGCTATTCATCATTTTCATGCCTGCTTCTTATTCTCGACGTAGTGTATTCTTTGACTTTGCTCTTTTCCGTTTCCCTTCAAGATTTTAATTTAAGGCTTGCTTTGTCATGATTTCCGTAATTTATGTCCTATTCACCTTCATCGTCTTTTCCGAAACTTCCTTTTCAAATGGAAGCTAGTTTATTCTCTCCCAAAGTAGGCTGTTGTTGATGGTAGTTTAGCATAGGATCATTTCACATTACTTCCATTTAATTATTTTTTTCGTCTTGACTGTAACTTATCTGGCTTAGACAACAGTTCATTAGGGAATGAATTTTCTTACCCTCTCTTAAATATTGTTTCGAACTCCAAAAACGACATATTTTGGAACTATTTAAAAGCTATAGCCAATGCAAAAGTTGAATAACATTAAAACAACTGTGATATAAATTTATTATTCACACCCAGTATTGCATTAATGAACAAATTTATACTCTTATCCATTTGTTTTCTTAAAACCTGTCCTCAAGAGTTTGTGAAATGATTACCATTTTAATAACAATTTGCTCTCTTAATCACGCTATCATTGGTTCACATTTAAGTTCGAACATGGTTACAACCAGAAATAATTTGTTTTACAAAGGGAAATATCTTTTTATAATTGACTAGAAATGTCCACTTAAACATATTGAGGATATATTTCGGTAACATTCAAACCAATCTCTATTTTTCTACATACTGATAGTCATACCCTCAAAACTTATTGTCAGGGGTAAGGAGAAAACTACAGTCACTTTAATGTCATCCACGAAAGTTCATCATTTTATCATAAATAAAATTATCTGATTTATTTTGGCCATTGTAATGCAGTAAATATGTATTCATAATTACAGGTCCTGATAACTAAGTTATTGGTAAAAATTGTTCGTTTAAATATTCTTTGCATTGAAATATTGTGTAGGGGATTTTTAGACCAGTAAAAGTGGTTCAATTAAACTGTCATGTGTTATAATAACACTTAAATAGATTCATTATCTAGTAATAAATAGTTAATAGTTAAAGTTGTGATACATTTGTACAAGTTATGCAATCATGCATAAGCAATAAGAAACTAGATATAGGGGAGAACTGGAAACGAAAAGTGATCATGTGAGATTGAATTTCAAAGGTCAAAATGATAACGAAATTTCATAAATTGGAAATAATAGTACAAATGACTTAGTGTTTGACGTGATAAAAAGTTATTTTTAAATAAATAAAAAGGATTTAAATTTTCAAACCATTAAAGATGTGACTGGCTTTGGAATGAACTTTCGATAGGCTCGAAAGATGTATTCAGATCATTTCTATGATCACAGTCTAGATCATGCATAGCAACGGTGGAAGTCGGAAGTCTGTCGTTAACCAGAAATAATTGTATGGTTTGACTTAATCCTGTAACTATCTTTAAATATGTCCAAATATCTTTATCTGCATAGACCGATATGTTCTTCTTATCTATGCTTGATCAGATAAATACTATAGGCGTTGATATTACATTTTGAATTCTCATACTCTTAATGTATTCCATTTAAATTATGATCTTATCAATATTAGATCACCATTGAAAACCTGGAAGCACTGAACGACCGTCTCACCCAAATATAAGACTCCTCAGTAGTGCGCATCCGCAGTCCCGCACGCAAGGCTCAAGCCCCTTCGGTCTCGCGTGTGGTCCCGTACGAGGGATCATGGATGCTCACTGCTTAGGAGTCCCATACCAGGATGAAATGGTCATTCAATGCTACAAAGTTTTTAATAGTGGTCTAACATTGATCGGTTCATGATTTAAATGAAATTCAGCAATCTCCAAAACCCTAAACTGAAAATTAATGTATCTAGTATCTTTCGGTTTTATTAGTTTAAGTACATAACATATCAAAATCCCATGCATGTGGATGGGTAACCCTCAAAGTAAATGGATGATAAAACTCAATATTTTGTCGACAATTATCGATTAATATTTGTATCTCATTCCCTCGAAAAACGTAACTACTTTTCACGTTTAATGTAACTGAATATATAATTTACCGATCTTCATTTATGCGGAACTACTTAAAACCTATGATAATTTGAGCAGTTTTATTCAGAAAAATTTCCTATATATGCTTTATATTATTAGTACATCTATTATGTGATCATTTTATTAGCATTACCAAATATTAGGACAAATTCCTTTTTAATATATCACACCAGTAATTCAAAATGTATAAAATTAATTATTTTTTCTTTATTATAGTTGTCAGTATCTTTTTGACTGCTGCATTGGGTCTACCTGAAGCATTGATTCCAGTACAACTACTTTGGGTCAATTTAGTCACTGATGGTTTACCAGCTACAGCTTTGGGATTTAATCCACCTGATTTAGATATTATGGACCGTCCACCACGAAATATTAAAGATCCTTTAATTTCTGGTTGGTTATTTTTCCGTTATGTTGCAATTGGTGTTTACGTTGGATGTGCAACAGTTGGTGCAGCTGCTTGGTGGTTCAGTCTTTATCCTAAAGGACCACAATTGAATTACTATCAGTTGGTAAGTGTAATAAGAAATGACTATAAATTAAAAATTCTCCTCTTATGTTTTTAAGGAAATATGAAGACAGAAATACTAAACAAAACGTTAAGCCTCTACATTTTCTTCTTAATTAGACGTTTTTTTGTTTATTTCAGTCTATTTACTATTAAACCTTAAAGCTATTAATCCCTGTAAAGTTGAGTGGAAGTTAAAACAGTAGTCATCTTTCCTTTAAATCTGAATTTAATAAATGTAAATATCTTTGTAATTATAAACACTTTTTGTTCATGGGTAAAACGTTAACACTAAAAATAACCAACAAATCAGCAACTTACCTATAGACCATGCTAAATCAATAACACAAACTAATTAGTGAAGAAAGGAAAACAAAAGTTTTTCGTGAATCACGATAACGCATTCTGTAGTACTTATCCATTTACATATTTCATAACATGATATTTTATACAAATTTCAAATTGTAAAACGTTCAGCAATGGACGTGAAACTCTATTTTATTCTGATTTATTAATTATTCAATAGTTTATTTACAAATAAGGAAATAATTAGTTTCAGAGTAGTTAGAAACAGATCAGTTACCGTTTTTCACTTCTGGTCGCTAATATACCCCTACCTATGCACAACAACAAGAAATAAGACTAGAATGAATCAAAACACCATGTGAAAAGATAAATTTTTGATGCACAGTTAAAACGTTGGTGGAAATTAGTCTAATATGAAGATATGTTTTGTGAAAAATCATTACTAACTAGATAACCAGTAAACATCTGGAAACTCCCAGCAAATACTTCATTCTAATTTGAAATTCCTCAACAGTGAACATTTAAAACCCTGAAACAGACTGTTTCCAGCACTTAAATGTCTTACGTTATTCACTACAACTTAATTTTGAAAAGTGAGAAATCAAACATATTTCACTGGTGACACTGATAGTCCTTGAACTATCTCACAAGTCAACCGAAACTGGAAAAGTGAACTATAGTTTTCAACTTAATAGTCTAAAAGCAACTCTCTTACCTCAAAGGCTAAAGTTTCTAGATATACATTGTTGAATACGGAGCTCTTTTTGAGAATAAGAGTTTGAATCATCAGGATCAAAAAGTATTTATCACAAAACTTAATGTTATTAAATACCATCTTATAAACAAAATATCACAGATATAATTGAAATTTATATTTACATCAATATTTTCTGTAAATTAGCGCCGATCTGTTATTCAACCATAGAAGAAGAGGTAATCACAATTAATTTATTATGATGATTGACATTTTATTGAAGGTCAAAATAGCAAAAAATATATTTTACATCAATATATTTATTTATTTTAATTAACCAAAAACGAAAAATACTATTTAATATACTAAACACATACATAGATTTCATTAGATTTCTCTTATAAAGGTAATCAGATTCTTACTATTCTTTCAATGATTTTAATAATTGACATTTTCATTTAAATAAACAATGTATAAATATCTTCAAAGAAATGGATTTATTCAGTTATTTTCTTTTATTAACTTAATAGTACATTTCATATCTTCTTTCAAAATATCTATCCAAGGTAAATGATCAAACAAATTGATTGAAACTATGAGTCAATTGAAACTAGACCACTATAAGAAACCTGGAAGCACTGGATGGCCATTTCGTTCTAGTATGGGACTCCTCAGCAGTGCGCATCCACGACCCCACCCCTTGCGAGATTCGAACCCAGGACCTATCAGTGTCGCGCGCAAGCGCTTAATCATTAGACCACTGAGCCGGTATTCAGCGGTGTTAGTGTCTAACTTCAACCAATCCACGAAATTGTGCCACCGTACACCATTGTCTTCAGTGAGTTGATATCTCATAACAGACCTGGTTGAACTCCAATGGTCACGGCTTCTCACTAGAACTCCGGAAAATGTCTCTTGAAGTCAGTCACTAATGAGCAGACGTTTATTATCAGAAGGGGATCGTGAGTGCGCACTGATGAGGAGCCCCATAATAGGACTAAAACGGCCTTCCAGTGCTTTCAGGTTTTCCATCGTGGTCTAGCTTCAATCGACTCATGATTTCAACTATTGAAGTTACTAAACTCTCCAAAAAAACCCTTCTGATAGAAATTACTTATTGAAGTAAAAATAATTATCTGTTATAAATTGAAATCAGGATTAACGATAAACTTTAAAAATTTATGATTAAGATTGTTCGTATATGAAGATGTTGTAATTTGAACTACCCAATTACATGGTAACTGATGTACAGTAGCACTTTAGCATCACTAATTCATAAATTAATACGAGATAGAGAAAATAGGAATTTCAGTTTAACATTATATTCTAAACAGAAATCGAAATGAAAACGTAGCCACTTTGTATCAAACATAGTATTATACAATGACAGGATAGCAAAATCAGTAAGCTAAGAGTGTTAACGGCAAGTAAATATATGGTTTAGAAAAGTTTTATCCTTACCAGCAACAACACTTGGTATTCTTTACCTGAATCTTCCGATTGATATTTAGGACTGCAGTTGATCAGTCTCTTATTGGCATATGTGCATACTGTGCGTAATACTTCTATATTGGCTTAGTTAACAAGGATTATAAGCAAAGATGGATAGTGGCTAGCAATGGAACCCAGGTACGTCTAGCTGACAAGTCTTAAAATAGGACGAAACGCACGTCCTATATTCCACTGCCAGTCACTATCCATCTTTGTTCAAAATTTAGACAACTTAAATTCTCCTTAGCGTTATCATTTCCTGTCTTATTTACATTAACTTACATATCTAAGTAATCCATTGAAATTCTATAGCAAGAATGAGATGTGATTAATCAGTTTTAAGCTGCACTTTTGATGTAAGATCTATTATCACCACTTGTATGGTAAAATAACAACAAACGGATTGAACTCAATTGGTAAAAGTCAAATCAAGTATTCATTGGATTATTGATTCATAGAAATAATGATAATTTCATGAATTCAAACTATCAAACGGAAATATTTTACCACACGAAATCTTCTGTTTTGTTTTAAATTTTAATGATAAACTTTCATGATAATTAAAATGTTTTTAAAATTTATTTATATATACTTTTACATTCGTAAAACTAGGTATCATTATCAAGGTTTGACCTGATAATTTCAAATAAGTTAGGGATTGGGTAGATTGTTATAAATAAAAATAGTATATTTGTAATATCCCATTGAATATAAAAATTAGATTTTTTGACGTTTCATCTAAACTTGGGTTAATTTTAATTTGATTATTTATTCTCTGAAGAAGTGGATTACACTGAGTGACGAAACGTTAGAAAATCTAACTTTTTTACTCATTGTGATATTACAAATTCATCATTTTTTGATTGAGATAAGAATCGATTAGTGTTAGACCACCATTGAATACTTGGAAGCACTGGATGGCGGTTTCGTCCTAGTATGGGGCTCCTCAACAATACGCATTCACGATCTCGCACAAACGTGACTCGCACCCAGGGCCTTCGGTCTCGCGCGTGAACGCTTAACCTCTAGACCACTGAACCAGCATCCGACGGCGTTATTGTCTGACCTCAACCACTCCACGTAATCATGCAACCATCTTCCATTGTTTGAGGTCTATATCTGTCTCTACTTGACACGGACCCAGCGACAATCATTGGCATTTTGAAACACCAGCTTTAATAAATTGAGCATGTGCTTTGAACGACCTCCCAAAGAGTTCAGTATCTTGCATTATTTACCACTTCTAGGACTGGTCTGAAAAAGCATGGTGGTGGTCAGTTTATGAGTGCCAACATATGAGAGCTGTACAAGACTGACTTCTGCTGTCCGTTCACAAATCCTTTGTTGGAGTCCTAGAGACAGTGCATTACAGTGTCTCAGAATGGAAGCCAGTGGTGTCTCTGCTGTAATCGCTTTTACTTTCTTCATGAAAGTGAGAGTAACTTTTCTTATTGAAAGAATTCTTTCTGGTTGTATTTTTCTTAAATAAACTGCTTCTTCCATTTTCTACTTCCATTCACTTGGTTTTATTCATCCAATGTTTTTTCTGTTAAGTTCGCTTTCCTTCCCTTCTCTATTCATAATCTCATTTTCTTACTGTGGGGCACATTATCAATTTTGGTAGCTCTTTGTACTAATAGGTTCTTAAATTAATAAATAACAGAATGTGACAAACGAGGGATATAAAGTCTAACAAGAAAAAAACTTTTTATAGGTATATTTCTTATATTTTCCTGATGTCTATGAAATCATTCCAACTGAGTGACTTATTTATATTCTGAATTATTACTAGCAAGATAGTAGTTCGTTATACTGAAGAGGCTTACTAGTAGTATGCGTTAAGGAGTGTAAAATGAACAAATGATTATTTAACTGCTACTTTTTTCCGGAGTAAAACTTTAAGCTGGACTCTTATTGGAAGGCTTAAATGGCCTTGAAAAATTTTGGAATCATTCATGAATGAGTGGTTCAAAGTTACGTATATGAAGTTTAAGATTCATACTAGGTTTCACAGCCAGTCTATAAATACTCTAATCCTGACCCAAACTCCTTATCCTAATGGTAAATCCTGAACTCTATACCCTGATACTAAATTCCAAGTTCTGGTTCATAGACCGAAAATAGATTTATTTATTTACAGAAGACTTTGATGTTCCGAACATTTCTAGAAGACTGAACTAAATAAGTAATGAGTTATTTATCTACTTCATCTAACTTTTTATCAGCAAATAATATTTCAGGTTCATTACATCTATTTTGATGGGTTTTCAAATGGTCATATTGACATGCTCCTAGTCAATGTTTTGACTAAACTTTACAAAATGAGTGCTTTTTAATACATGAATGTCTTTCAGTTGAATCAGTGAGCATAACCAGCACAAAGAAAACCAAAATCTATAGTTGATCTATTATTTCAAAATCTGGAAACGTTCTTACCTATATCTCAAAAACATTTTTTCCATTTTCATTTTACTGATTATCGTTTCATTCATAGACTCATCATATGCAGTGCTTGGCTGAAAAGGATAACTTCCACGGAATCGACTGTCACATATTTGAAAATCCCAAACCAATGACTATGGCATTATCTGTTCTAGTGCTCATTGAAATGTTTAACGCCTTGAACAGGTACCTTTTTGTTATCAACTGAAAATGTTGCATTTTGTTATATATACTGATGAATTTCTTTTATTTTTTAATTCTTTGTTTTCTCCTAAACTTAGACTCACCAGTCTCAGTGTCTAGCTCAGGAATCTCGTTTTGAGGGTGTAGACTGTTCTATCTTCAGTCATCCAAAGCCTATGACAATGGCTTTATCTGTTCTGGTTCTTATTGAAATGTTAAACGCTATGAACAGGTGAGTAGGCCGTCCACGTATACACACATTTGCATAGACATTTTACTGCACAATGAACTAAAATCACATGTTCATCATCATTCAAATGAATGGAAAATCAATGAAATAAACATATTCATCACAAAAAAACACCATTTTATTTCTATGAATTTTTGCATGCGGTGTAACTTAACGTTTTATCTCTTGTTATTTAAAACAATTGCCTACTATTTCATGCTGAACAAAGGGGCTCCTAGGGTGATAATGCAATTTTTAATGAGCTGATTCCTTACCAGAACATTGTTGTTCCTTCACATAAATGTTTGAGAAAATATGATTATATGACATTTGGTTCTGGACACTGCGAAAACATATTAGTAGAATGAGAATATATATGTTTGGCGTATAATGCATTCACCGTGGAGCCCTTATTAATTACTGTAGTAGGCTGCCACTAAGATTCTTTGACTAGATTAAAACATGGAAGCCCCTTTGCTCGGCTGAACAAGTAGGTATTTTATTTCAAAGAAGCTTCTTAAACATAATATACACACATTTGATTACACATTTATTTACAAAGAAATTCATAGTGGCGGCCTACTCAGTAATCCACAGCGTTATTTCCTTAAGTTTATTGTGTAATTTACGCATGCTGATACATTGTAATATTTTGATCTAGTTTAAAGGGATATATGTGTATGTATGGTGCTTTTCTGATACTTATATATTTTGACGTATATTTCAAAAATATCTTTATTTTGCACTATTATTATGATCCTACTATTTCAAACTTCAATTAACAAAGTAATTTTAAGATTTGATTTTCAAGAAGTTTGCGGAAATCAGTTACAACTTGAGGAAACTAATTGGTGAAGGTGTAAAAGGAGATTGAATTAAATTTCTCTCACATTGGAATACAAATGTGTCTGTTAGTCATTGTGAGCAAAAACAATTTGATATGGATTCACCTTTTATATGTTTATTCTGAGAATTTAGCCACACTGTTAGAATCACTAATTTTATTGAATTTACTAATGATCAGTCCACTAAACGTCAAATGGTACTAGTGATCTTTGCTTTAAGAACTTGCGCACTAAGTATAATGATGCTGAATGACCCAGAAATCTTCCAAAGTCTTCGTAACCTCCCTAATCTTGCCATGAGAAAAACTAGCCGATTTACTCTGTGTATATCATAACTCAAACCTTCACCTATCTAGACTATCTAAAACTAAGTAACAGGTACTCGTTTTGTTCGCTGCAATCTATGAACAGTAAAAGAAATACCAGTAGTTAATAATCTCAAAGAAAGTTTACAATTAGATCACTATAAAAATACCATTTACGAAATACTTAATAAATACTGAATAAAAATACGCGTAATAATCCTCTATAAAATAGTTCCTCACATTCCATATCTAACACATTCATTCAACTCATTCTGATGGATGGATGAATTTAACAAAAACAGATTTAGAAAGCTTCATGAAAACTTATACAACATGTCCAAATAATCAAATTACTACAGTTTTAATAACAGAATAAAGAATAAAATAAGATAGTAACAAAAAACTAGTAGGTTTTATAAACGGTATGTTAATATTTTTTTTTAATTTGCACTATGGACATTAATATCAATTCATATTAGTTGTGATCACCTGCTTCGGTTTGCGAACCCGAGCAGTATCACAGCCCTCACACATATCAAATGAGATTTGTGTGGCGCATATGTATTTGGTGCCTCCTTGTACCAATATCTATGTGTTAAAATAAATCAATAAATAATAGTTATGATCACCATTCAACACGTCAGTACTACACTTTTTAATACGAATATCAGTTTTATGAATCAAAATAGAGTGAATTTAATAAAACAAAAACAAACAAAACAAACAAAACTCTATTAGCTTTAAATGTTACTTTCAGAAATAATCCCTGTAATCACATAATTATTTGTGACATATGATGAATAACATTTAAGAATAGATAAATGTTAAACAATAATATTGTCATTGTTGACAATTATCATTTCCTTGATTTCATTATCCCCCTAACTATCTGGTATTTATGATACATAATTTAAAGAAAATGTCATATTTCGTTATATCAGTAGTTAATAAGTAATCTCTAGATAAATAAGACTAATAAATACCTTAATAGTTGAGATTATGAGTCAGTTGAAGCCAGACCATCATGAAAAACCTGAAAGCACTGGACGATCGTCCCGTCCTAGTATGGGACTCCTCAGCAGTACGCATCCACGATCCCGCCTCTCGAGATTCGAACCCAGGACCTATCGGTCTCCTGCGTGAACGCTTCAATTGACTCATGATCTCAACTATTAAAATTAGTATAATATCCACAAAAACCCCTTCTGATAGGATTGAATAAGTGTTAACTTTTAAATCTATCATTGAACCATTGAGTAATGTGATTTTCATCAATGGATATAAAGTAGAAAAGAACTTCTTCATAATGAAAATTCACTTGATCGAACAATACAACAAGTATTTGATTGTTACTAGTTAATAACCATGTCAAAATGCTTCATTAGTTGAGCCTACAATAGAAGTACTAAATACTATGTATTCAAAAACCTGACTGAAATGATGTGAAAAAGAATAGATCATAGAAAATAGTTGTTCAGTCCTGTGTTATTTTTATTCTGCTCGTGATGTCCTGTGACATCATATTTAGAAGCTAAAACATTAGCTTGGAAAAATTAGATAATTTTAATTATTTGAATTATTGTTAAAATTTGGTATTAGTTACTACGGGTGTTACTACACGCAGTCAATCAGATTAAAATGACATAGTTTTTTACTACCATCAAAACTGTGACCCATTGATGAATTCTTCTTTATAATAGTAAGAAGGCTATTATAGCCACTGATTATTCCCTTCATTCGGTTTTACTAGATGTGTTTACGTAATCAGTAACTGGTAAATGATCTGAGCATGTTTGCGTAATCGTAACATATACTACTTAATTCGTTTACTAAATAGTCAATCTTTGATTACTAATTTAGATCTATAAAGATATTAACTTTAGGGAAAAATATGTCTGTCGCATCTGCAACCCCTTGCCCTTCAACAGCTTTTACTTTAATCCATATATCCTTATATTGACCAGACAATCTAATCAAGAATTTGATGAACTACAAATCACAAGATTGATATTTCATTACGTTCATCGAAATTTGACGACCCTATTCAAATGAATTAAAATTATATCAGAAAAATCAACTGTGAGGAAGTTTACTTAAGTTTTTTCACTCACCTAATCGTAAACTAAATAATCATATTCAAGCTTTATTGCATGTTTAATTCATTTTAATTCTTTACTTATTCAACACAGTAGAAAACTCAAACTTAATTGACAAGCATAATTAATTATTCAATTAAACTTGTACAAAGTTAGTATAAGTAATCCCATTAACGAAAATTCAATATTATGAACTGAATCTTATTGTTTTGACTATTACAATTTTTTATACACGGATATCTATTTTCAGACAAGTTAGGCTATTATTTTAGTTTTCCTATTGATGTTGCCTTAATTCACAAGCATCATAAGCATAGATGGGTGGTGGCTATCAGTGTAATCCATGACGTGCGTTTCGTCCTATTTGGGTTTCGTCAGCTGGATGAAATAAAAAATGTTCAATGTATTTTCTTGGATATAATCTAATTAAATCATGATTTATATGAGAATTACAAAATTTTGTTTTAAATGTATTCATACTATTTAATAGTGTTGTTACTTACACTGAATGATGATGATTTTCTTACTTTTCTCTCATCGTTTGATGTTGTTTTTTTCAAACAGCCTTTCAGAGAATCAGTCACTGGTTGCTATGCCTCCATGGGTAAATATATGGCTTGTACTGGCTATGATTGTTAGTATGTCATTGCATTTCTTGATTTTAGAAGTTGACTTTCTCTCAGTAAGTTAAATACGTTTCATTTGTTTAAGTTCTATTCAATGTTTAGTTTACTGTGATTTATTAGATTATAACAGAATACATAGCGAAATTGGTTTTTAGTTCACAATGGAGAAATATTAGAAATCTAAGTGCACTGGGCATTTCAACTTAAAATAAAGAATCAACGTGAACTCACCAACCAATATAAGGTGAAACCTTAGACGTTTAGCCCCTGAATGGAGTACAGTGTTAGGCGGTTGGAGATTGTCAGAAGGAAACCCTAGACTTGGGTTTCTTGCTAGTTGGCAAGGAATACAATACTTAATGAACCGATTCTCCTTCCAACATTAGAACCTGCATCAATCAGCCTCACATTCCGGATAACATAATACTCATAGACCGTAGAATTTGAAAGGCGATGTGGTCACTTCAGATGGAGACAACCCAATGTAGTTCAGTACAAAATTACAGAATTTCTTGCTAAAATATAAGAACCACACATTGAACACCTCATTTGCAAAATTCCATCATTTGTCCTTCACATTTTGTATTATTCTACGAAGCCACAATTCCTTTCTATTTTTACCTCTGTTTTCTCTTCAACTTGATCCGCTTATCCTTCTGCTCTCAGGTTTTCCAATTCCGATTGGCGTTACACACTGCTTATATCTGTTGATATAAGTTTCTTACACCACAAAATATTTCTTAGAATGAATTTAACTTAAAATCAAAGCTAGAATATTGTTAGGTTATATTGTAATCATTTCTGTACATAAACTGTTTTTTATGCTCGTTTGTCTAGGACAATACTTGTAAGATCATTTATATCATTTAGTTAACAGATAAGAATATATTCATTTTGACAGTTGACTATTTTAAGGCCAGTCAATTGATTATAAGCAACATAGAACCTAACACATATGTGTATCATTTCTAGTTTCCACACCACATTAGTGTAGTTAGGTGAGAACATTAGTATCAGCGTAGTAGATGAAGTATTATTATTATTAGTAGTATAAAATATTAGGCATAGAAAATATGATTCGGGAAGGAAGAATGGATTCGAGGAATAAAAAGTACTAGATAATTCGAAAACTCAAGATCTAAGGGAAGACAAAGAACGAATGTATCTGAGACACTGTGACTAACCCTGAGTTATGTCATTCATCGTCTCCAACCAGGTAACTTGTACCTACAAACACGTCTGAGCACAATACTCTGTAACTGAATCTAGGCCTCTATTTGGTCTCACTTGGTACTTACGAATATAGTGAATCGAGGTAGGTTGAAATAATTTATATGTAACTCACTTCCCAATCGTCTAAATCAATAAGAATTCATTACCTTATCAATCGATTAATCGTCTCAACCTAATGTCTTGAGTCTAAGTTTAGGATTGCTTAATCGGTGGTCTCGACATACGCAAGTATTGCATCTCTGATCAAATATCAGCAACATATGGATATTTTTTCACTATAATCTGAGAACCATACAGTAAAGACTTGATTTGCAAGATGTTGATCAATTGTTTCAAACTTGAATGTTTCTTTAGCAAATATCAGTCCATCGTCTCAGATTTCATTTTTCCGGGATTTTCATACTAATTGACTTCCATTCCCGTTCCTTCCTTCTCGATCTTCTACTGAAATACATTCTGTTCCTGACTATCATTATATACTGCTTATATGGATATAAGTAGCTCGCACCACAGTACTATCCAATCTCACAATTATGTTAATAAACAAATCCAATCCCACTTAGACATGATTTTCCGTTCAACAATCGAATTCATTACTGTAATTTCGTTTTGAATTGCATTGAATAAATTAATTAATTAGTTTTTTTTTCTAATTTCCCATCATATTTGTACTTTGTTTGATATATAGAAAGTCTTTCAAATCACTCCATTATCATTGGAAGAATGGTTTATGGTAGTTAAAATCTCTGCACCAGTAATATTTATTGACGAAATATTAAAATTGATTGCCAGGCGATTTACGGATGGTACGTTTAGTGTCATTCTAGCTTTTTAATTTACATTATTATCTATTTTAACAAGCGTTTTCTTTACTAGTATAGGGGTTGTGGAGATTATCAAGTTTTTTGTTGAGATCATGAACCGATTGATGTTAGACCATCACAATTGAAAACCTGGAAGCACTGGACGGCCGTTTCGTCCCATTGTGGGACTCCTCAGCAGTGCGCATCCACGATCCCGCTCGCGGGATTCGAACCCAGGGCCTTCGGTCTCGCGCGCGAACGCTTAACCAACTAAACCTCACCACATAACCTTTTTAACGTATAACTAGACGCTAAGATATCTGTATAGATACTATGAGAGAAAATGTTTTCTTATAGTGACATAGCATTTACATCTGTTTAAATTTGGATAACTAAACTTTTAACATTATTATTTTATGAAATATTGGTAGGAGAAAGAGTTATGTTTTCACTATGTTTTCGTTACATGTTTAATATCCATTGAAAGATTTATTTCAAATCAGGATTCGTTCTAGTTGGCATCCATCATCATAAAAGCATCAGTCTCATTAGGGTTACAGGCATAGTTTAAATATTTCACCAGGGATAAATTTAAATGTATAAATTAATTTTCTTAAAATAACTTGTAACTTTAGCTTTACACAGATAAAATCTACAAAATGTGGGTATTCGTTTATAGAATATATCGGAAATTACTGGCATTTATGCAGCCAGGAAGTACCACACAGTTGTTTCGTGCTAATATGGGACTAATCAGGGGTACATACACACAATCCCGTTTGTAGATTAAACTCAGGGCTTTCAAATATATCTATGGGTGCCTAACATTTAGAAAACTGAGTTAGTATCTAGTGGCTTATGTGTTTAACTTTAATTGTTCAACTATCTTCCAATCCCATTGATCGGTAATTTACTGCCTCAAATCTGACATGCTTAAACTCCATTAGTCACTAATTCTTAGTGAGACTTTCTGAATTATCTCTCGAAACTGAGCATATAATTATTAATTCCTTTAGTAGATTATCGAAATCATTGAGTTTCATAAGTTACATTACGAGACCTGAAGATCATGGGACTATATTTCATTAAAACTAATCCTTGATGTAATCCATAAAATTGAAAAGTCTCCATAGACCTCCTACAGTAAGTCAATACAAATGCAAAATATCATATATTGATTTATCCATACGTTTCTAAATCTGCTTCAAAATATTTTTTTAAATTCTATTAAAGTAATTAATTCACTTTATTTTCTATTCTATTTCAAGTTCCTACCAATATCGGTGAATTGAAGTAATCATGGTAAAAAATCAATAATGAAAATTCTATTAAGTCAAATAAAACAACATCCTTTATCCTAATTCCCCTTTTCTTCAAAACAAACAACAACAACAAAAAAGATCTCATTCTAATAACAGTTTATAATTCATTTCTTTAATACTCTTCCTACCTACACCTTGCTCCTAAAAAAACAAAAAAGAGAAATTGTTTTCGTCACAAAACTCTCCTTAGATTTCTTTCTTCATTTATTCATCAAATTGTTCTCATTTTTCAACGTAGTCAATAATTACATTATACAAAACATTTATTTCATATTTCAATAGAATCAGCTCAATTTTATTTGAACAAATTTAATAATAGTGTTATTTGAAATTAATCCATTATATAACTAATGGAATATCACGTCATATAGATTTATGTTATCTGTTAACGTTTTGATAAACTACGACTATATTAAGTTTTGAAATTATATATATATATATATGATGTAATATTAAAATGATACACATCTTGAATTCAATATACTTTTTAAACTCTTGGATTGTTTATTTAAACCAAATATACATTAGAGAATAATGTTAACTAACTAATTACTTACGAATGTTTCTTTTTTATTCTTCTGAAATAAACATGATATCTATCCGTTAGTAACCCAATAGAAATAAAATATTTGTTTACAGTGCAATGGGTTTTTTTTCTCTCCAAAATAATTCACTAACTATACAGTATGTGTTTCTACTCCCCAAATCCTAAAGTCGAAATATTCAGTTTTCATTTCTTCTATCCAGTAGCTCAACCATCCTTTTTCTTAGAACCCCTTTTTGTTTTTTTTTGTTTTTTTTTGGGGGGGGGTGTTTTTTTTTCCATTTTTCGATTTCCTAATAGTTTTTATTTTTTTTCTGTGAAGTAAATGTTGTTATGTTGGTCTCTTTATCACTCTCTTTCTTTCCTTTATGTTTCATGAAAGAGTATTTAATTATAAGGATTTTTCAATTAGTTAGAACTATGTTATCATCAAAAAGGAATAGTTGGAAAATCTTTTTAAAAAAAATCTCTTCTTTTTAAAAAAAAATTATTATCTTTGGGAAAAAAAAGATAACATTTCGACTATTCAATTAACATGAAACGAGGATCAATTACTTTATGACTGATTTATTCCATCTAATCAGTTTTCATCTATTCACTTTCATGTTTATTATTGATCAGAAAAAATATTTACATTGTAATTTTAACACAAAAAAAAAGTTCCCCCTATTTAAAAAGAAAGTGAGGGAGAAAGAGAGAGAGAGAGAGAGTTACAACAGAGATAAGAATATCAATTTCCTCGTAATGTCCAATTGATTAACATAATTTATGAATTGAGACAATAATCAATTAACATACATTTATCATTGACAATCATCAAAATAATAAACAAATAATAATCATACAAAATTGTAGAAAACAAATTTGATTTCTTCTTTGTTTGTTTGGTTTTCTTTTCACAATAGTTATAGTTATTTACATAGATTAAAATTATTACTATTATTATGTTCTTCAATATTGAACCCGTGTCCTTTGAATATATATATATATATATATATAATGATCTGTGTAGACTATTGAAATATATATTTTATTGTAGTGAGATCAAATTATAAACATTCACCAACAAACTGTGTAAATTATGACTTATCATCGTCTATAGTAAGTTACAAACATGATTTTAGAGCTAATTGATATTCATTAGTAAAGCGTATATGTAGTGTTTAGATAATTGATACTTCTTGTAAGATTCAAATTCCTATTGTTGTGTATTACAGATTGAGAAGTGATAATGAGGTTATTTAGACTATCATAAACCTACTGAATAAAGGACTATACAATAGTACAACTTTATAAGCAAAGATGAATGGTGGCTAGTAGTGGAGTCCAAGACGCACGTTTTTTACTGTTTGGGACTCGTCAGCTGGATGTGCCTGCATCTGAGTTGATGTTTACTCCAGGACTCGAACCCAGAACCATTTGCTTCAAGTGCCGTCCTATTATCCACTTAGCTATAGAGTCCTGATAGTCACCTGCTTGTGCGATGAGGTGAAGTTTTAAATTCACTCGTTATTTTTTGCTTGAATCTTTCCAATAATGTTAAGGACTGTAATTAATCAGTGAACGGTAATGGGTTCGAGTTCTGAAGTGAACATCGATTCTGGGATGCAGCTACATCCAGCGGAAGAGTCCCAATTAGGAAGAAACGCGCGTCCTGGATTCCAATGTCAGCCACCATCCAAATGATATAATACACTTGTTTCGTTTGTATTCGGAACTTAGTAGTAATGCTTGCTAACTGTTTCATATAAGAGCAAAACCAGTACTTTTATTTGTTGAAGAGAGCAAAAACAAAAGTTTGAGCAGAATAACATAGATTCACTTTATTTCGTTTGGTTCTTGTCAGCTCCTTACAACCTGTGATATTTAAAAATCGTAGTCACAAAATGGGTTCATATGACTTATATGGAAGAGTTTAGTTGGAATTTATCTTGAAGACACATCAGTATAGTGTAGGCAACGGTGTACATACATATAATAGACTGAATAAATTACTGTAAACATGTATCTTATGTAAAAGAACAGCTTATAACATTGGTTGTAACAAGAGTTCAAAGAGCTAGAAACATGTGATTACTTAAAGAGTAAACACTGATATAAATAAAATAGTATAACTAAGTTACCAAATAAGATTACTAACCTACAAGAAAGTCGTAATAAAAGGATGTAATGATGTAATCCAGCGAAACGAAGAATTTTAAAAAATTTCCAAGATGCAATGAAGGAATATTCGTCACTAAGTCAAGGAAAGATTAGTAACCATTTTCTTTTGAACACACAAATCAGATTTTTGACACCTCATAGCAACGGCTTCAGCAAACTCCTGAAGACTGGAGCTTAGCTGTTTAATAATTAATCACCTCGAAAAGTTGCAAGGTATCAACCTGATGTCTTGTACCCAAGAGACGTTTAGTAATTGCACTGTTCAAAGTTGTTCTTTATCTTGTTCTAAGGCTTTCTTTGACATGCTCGAAAAAATCTAAGATATACCCTCCTTTCTGTTCGACAAATGTAGCTGCTTTGGCAGGCGCACGTAAATTTATAAACACAGTTGGTGGTAACAGGAAAGGTGTGCTTTTCGACCTTTGATTAGGTTATGTTATTTTATACAGAATTAATAGTTTGATTGCCGGATCAGTTCTGGCTAATTCAGTGTTAAGCCTCCTGCTGTCTTCCCCTTCCTTTTCTGATGGTCTACTGGATTATGAAGACCTCGACATCTGAGGGGAAGCACGGAATACAAAGAACAGCTCGGAATCAATTAGAAGATTTGAACTACGCAGATGCTTCTATCCCATACACACGAACAAATACAGCCGAAGATAACTAGTGTAGCAGTAGCCTCTGCATCAGTAAGCCTCAACATACACAAGCGAAAAAGCAAGATCCTCAAATACAACACGAGAATATCAACCTAATCACACTTGATGGAGAAGCTCTGGGAGAGAAATTGCGCTTGCGACGTCATCACATTTGAAATTGAGATTTATGGATATTGGTTTCTTATTGACTGTAGTTACCTCCGTATTGTTTTCTTTGGGTTTTTTTTACATTTGTCGATAAGTTTATGTAGATAGCAGTTGTCTCAGACATTTTTCAACGTTCGACAATTATTCCAGTTTTTCGGTGGTACATATCCTTTCTACCTCATAAAAAAGTGTTTTGATCAACGCTAGATAAACAGCTACAAAGTTACATGTATATAAAACTACAAATAGATTTCAATTCAGAATTAGTCATATGAATGAACACAAAGTAAACAATAGAATTGAAATGATTCATTTAGTCATTGGATATTGATGTAATCTCATATACAGTCCTACTAATCATCGACATGTGTGGGCTTATACTGCAAATTTACCAGAATGATGGATTAACACTGATCATCATCAAAGTTTACTACATAATGGGAACCATTTATTAAACTAACAAATAAAATCAACATTGTGTAAACTATTTGGATAGTGCTGTCACACCATACAATAATCCATCAAAGATAAAAACCACTGATTATGTAATCAGTTAAATGATTTGATAAATGATGGCAATCTCATAGTAATGATAAATATATTTGTATAAAAAGGACTGGATTATTCAAGCTTTTTCGAAAGAAGCTAGTGATAACCGCTACCTTAATTTTGTCTAATCTGTAATTACACAGATTGAAATCATGAGTCAGTTGAAGCTAGACCACCATTGAAAACCTGGAAGACTGGACGGCCGTTTCGTCCTAGTATGGGACTCCTCAGCAGTGCGCATCCACGACCCCGCACCACCCGGGGCTCGAACCCAGGACCTACTGGCTTCGCGCGCGAGCACTTAACCATTAGACCACTGAGCCGGCATCCAACGGTGTTAATGGTTAAGTGCTCGCGCGCGAAGCCAGTAGGTCCTGGGTTCGAGCCCCGGGTGGTGCGGGGTCGTGGATGCGCACTGCTGAGGAGTCCCATACTAGGACGAAACGGCCGTCCAGTGCTTCCAGGTTTTCAATGGTGATCTAGCTTCAACTGACTCATGATTTCAATCTGTGAAATTTCTAAAATCTCCACAAAACCCATTCTGATAATAATCTGTAATTAATCGAAAACATGAAGCATATTTTTACTATCAACAAGCAATCATTATCACTGTAAATATATATCTGATCATCTGACTTCATTTGGTTATAGTTATTGAAAATATCTTTATTTTGACGACATATTCACTGATGTGAATTTGTTTTAGTTTGAAATCTTTCAATGACCTTCATGTTGTCGAAATAGTCATTCAAAGTCTGACCCTAGATAATTCCACATCTATTTTTTTTACTAAGTCCTAGACTGATGTTAGGGTTTCCTTAGCCCTTATTTACTTACGCCTGTTACTCCCAGTGGAGAATAGACCGACGACCAGCATTCTCCAACCAATTCGACACTGCGCCTTCATTTCTACTTCTATACAATTCTTGTTCATTCTTCTCATGTATATCCCCGTTTCTCGGTGTAATGTGTTCTTCGGCCTTCCTCTTCTCCTTTAGACTTGAGGGTTCCATGTAAGGGCTTGTGTGTCCTATCCACTTCCAATGCTTCTTCCTGATTTCTTTCTCCTCCACAATCTAGTTTGTTCTCTCCCAAAATAGGTTGTTTCTGATAGTGTCTGGCCAACGAATCCGAAGTATCTTGCGTAGACAACTGTTAATAAACACTTGTATCTTCTGGATGATAGCTTTCGTAGTTGTCTAAGTTTTCGCTCCATACAATAGAACTGTCTTGACATTTGTATTGAAAATTCTGACTATGTTGTTGGTTGACAGTTGTTTTGACTTCCAGATGTTCTTCAATTATAGATATGTTGTTCTCGCGTCTCCGCATCTGCATCAGATCCACCGTGTTCATCAATGATTCTGCTCAGATATGTAAAGGTTTTTACATCTCCCTAATCGTATCTGTCAAGTGTGATTCAATTGTTAAATGCTGTGTTGTATCGCTGAATCTTGCCTATCCCTTTGTGTATGTTGATACCTACTGCTGTTGAGGCTGCTGCAACGCTAGTCATCTCCTCCTGAATTTGTTATTGCGTGTGCGACATAAGAGCCAGATCATCTGCGAAGTCTAGATCGTCCAGCTGCATTCTAGCTGTCCACTTTTTTAGCCCTACAGTTCTTAAAATAATAGCTAAGATAATCGATCTAAACTACTAGTTGGATATACCGCTAGCTCTCAAGTCATTAGAATAAAATTATAGTTCATAGTTTACATTGCAGACCGATCTAATTTAGACAATATTTGGAAGCCAGGAAGCACTGGACAGTCTTCTTCATCCTAGTACGTGACTCCCCAGGGGTTAAGGTACACAAACACGCAGGAGATTGAAGCCAAGAATGAACTCCACTGGTCATAATATTTTCTTTGAACAATATCTCGAAACTCGTCACTAAAGATTAGATAATTAATATATACTGTTCAACATAGCGAAGTAACTGAAGCTAGACGTATAAACCACTAGATGCTGCCTCAGTAATCTTGAGATTAATCACTCTCATAAAGATCTGAAATCTCCGGATCCTATCCTTTGTAGTGTGATGGTACGTGCATTGCTGCAGAGCCACAAACTAATACGAAACAGTTGTTCAGCCTTTCCTGGTTCTCACTAGCTCTCTGACTTAGATAAGTCAACGATGTAAACTATGAATTTCGATAATCTCTGAAAGTCCCTCTATTAATTATGATTCACTTAAACTAGAATTTATACTCTCATCTTAATTTAGCTAAATAGATTAACAACTTGAGATTTTTACTCAACAACATTCATTCCAGTCTGTTGGCCTACATTTCATTGAATTTTTATTTAAACAGTTTGCTGAATCATCACCATTCATACCAAAAATTCTTAATCATTTATGGTTTATTAATAATAATCTAATATGTTTAACAAGTTTCGTCCATTTGCTAACTACTTGGATGAAATTCTAAGTGCCGTTCAGGACAAAGGTGATTAATTCTTGAATGTTATAGACTGATGTGTGTATTTTATTTTTAAAATTGTGTCAGTAATTTAGGTCATTATCAGTTTGACCAATAGATAGAATAAAAATAC